TGTTATACATCACTGAAAAGCGAAGGCTGTTTGTAATTTAAGTAAAATACATGGATGCTTTTTGAGAATCCATCTATCTACCCTGAAGAAATGATTCCTACATTGTAGTTGGAACTTAACAAGGGACCCCTCAGATAATTCAACTTGAGAAAAGACTGGAAATCACCAAGTAAACAATCTCTGGCTGAGTGTATTGTATAGCGAGTATTCCCAATGGAATCAGAGGCCACTTTGAGAGCGGGGTCCCTGTGTATTTTTAATTGTCACATGACTGGGAAGGACGCTGCTACCAGTTAGTGATGAGGAACCAGGGCTGCTAGCCATGCTGAAATGCGCAATACAGTCCCAGATCTTTAAGAACTAACGCCAGGTCATACGTAACTTTTGAATGTCCCTCCAGACATTCTTGTGGGTAAAAATAAAATAAACTGTTTGTAATCATCTGAGCCTAGAACTCGGTTTTACACATAAGCACAAAGTATTTTTGCAAGGTTTTAATATGCACTCAATTTCCCAGGGATGGAGCTACTGTGAAATATGAGAGATTGTCCTTTTTATAAACATGACCAAAAGTTTATCACATTTTTTAAGAACCGTGCCACCAATGACAAAGCTACGTATAGTCTTTGAGGCACTATTAGAAGATGCCTGAATCTCTCTGCATTTGTAGCTGTAACATTCAGGGTAAAGCTAAATTTAGGTCTAAGCACCTGACCACTTTATTATGTCCCTATAAGTCAGGACCAAACACGTATGTATTAAAATATATACTATTTTTATTATAAATTATTTCCATAAACTGTGTTCAGATTTTATCATTATGTCATTTTGTTAATTTTAAAAGACAGACATGTATAGCTTAATTAGATCATCTATGAATTGAATTTCTGAAAAGTGTAGAGGGTATTCGAGAAAAATGGAGACATTAAGTCTGATAACACTGACTAACTCATGTAGACTACCATGGCCTCTTTTGACCATGCAGAATCAAGTTCAGGTTCAAGGCCATGTTACAAGATATAGAAAAGTCTAGAGATGACCCCCGAACCACGCAGTGAAGCTATGCATTGCTATGCCCCCTCTTCGCTCTCGCACACACGCACATCTCATCCAGATGGCTAATGTTAGCCATCAGTCACTCACTCCGTCTCCGAATATAGAAAGAAAGAGCGTACAGCTGTGTTTGAGCAGAACCCAACGAGCAGTTAAGGCAAATTATCTTGAAACAACGGTTCTTAGGCAGAAAGTGCTGAACTAAATTCCAACATTAAAAAATGAATATGGAACTATACTATCTTCTGGAATATTTAACAACCGTGCATACCTATTTTAAAGGAGGGAAAAGTTACACTCCTAGATACCAGGTAATCTTTGATTACAGAGAAAACATAACAAAGCTCTTGATGAAGTGTGCTGCTTTCATGTTTATAATTGGCATCGGTGAGGTAAATCAAAGCAACTCAAAGTTGGAGGTGTGCTTTTTTTAAAAAACAGACTAGGTTAATAAAAACCTAACCTTCTCTAACAGACACCTTTGGCTCATTGCTCAATGCCAGGCGCTTAACGGTCTTTAAAAGTCCACTCGCATCACTTCCTTTACCGGCCAAAGACCTTTCTAGTCTTGTCTCTCTGTCACCACTTCCTTTTATCAACTGGCCAGAAGTGGTCATTATTCCCGAATTAGAATTAGTGGGCTGGACCTCTAGGCTACGAATAAACCTGACCGAGACGATGTCTCTGATACGTCCACACAGCATCCTGCTCCCATTTCCAGTGTATTTCTCGTTATGGTTTCTTGGTTTCTGGCTTTGTATTCTGCGTTCCTAGAATGAATTAATTCTAAGGATGATGAGATGGTCTAGCAACTTTGATTTATTTATTTGTTTGTTTATTTTCCTGGAAGTTCATATGTTATTCAGAAGCTACTGGGTTCCTGAGATTTTTTAAAGAATTTTAGACTTGGCCATAATGGTTTTAAAATATCAGTCCCTGCTAATAAAGGCCATAAATAAAAGTGTATTTGTGTGTGTGGAGGGGGGGAGGGGGGGGAGTTTGGCTCAGCAAATACTTGTAAATGTAGCAAGAGGCCTGAATGACACAAAATTTCTTTTTTGCGCAGATTGCCCTGAAGCATTGGAGTCACCAGTAAAATATCTCATCCAAGCCTGGAAAACTGAGCAGCGGAAGGAAGTCTGTTAATAATTACACTAGAGTAGCAGGTACGTTCCTGGGCAGTCCCCAGGAAACTGAGACACATGAGCATGCTACCTGAACCAGGATGACGTATTACAGAGAAGTCAAGTAAAGATGAAAACCCACTGAATATGGAGTCAACTCTTGACTCCTCAGTGGATTTTACCCTTTCGGGTGTCAGGACCAAGAATGGGCTCTGTCAGCTACTCTGTTGATACCTTGCACCTCCTCAGATGTTCACTGTTACCTGTTATCTTTCCCATGAACTATACCAGTGTTTCTCAAGTGTTGTTCCATTGATCAATCAATCTTCTGTATTGGACCCACCTGGGCTGTTTGTTAAAATGCGAGTTCCTGCCCAGCTGGCGTGGCTCAGTGGTTGAGTGTTGATCTATGAACCAGTAGGTCACAGTTCGATTCCCAGTCAGGACACAGGCCCAGTGTGGGGCATGCAGGCGGCAGCCAATTGATGATTCTCTCTCTCTCTCTCCCTCTCCCTTCCTCTCTGAAGTCAATATATTTCAAAAATAAAATAAAATGGGAGTTCCTGGGCCCTAACTGTTTCTTGGGTTTGGAGACTGGAACTCTGTATTTTAAAAGCCATTCCAAATGATTATTATGCGCAGGAAAGTTTCAGAACACCTGTTAGAAGAATTTTGGTTGCATGTGACTGGAATTCAATGCAAACAGACTTAAGCGTAGAGGGGATTTATGTTTGTGGAATTAAGATGAAGAGGAGGATGAGTATTACTTTGGGGGAACATCTTCCACTCTGCTTCCTTTGGGGTGGCTTAGTTCTCGGGATCCTCACTGGGGCCCCCAACAGCTTCAGACTTCTCATTCCAATAGCCTGATGAACATAAAAACAAGTCCCGCAAGCCACGCTCTCACTGGCCTAAATTAAGTCAGGTGCCCTAATCTGTCATGGATCTGAGTCAGATTCCTCGTAGGGTAGGTGGGAGTGGAGACTGACCAAAACCTCATGGACTGGGAGCTGGGGATGGGGGGGAGGGGGTGTCCTGTAAAGAAAACTGGGGTGCTGTTATTTGGAAGACAGAAAATTGAAGCTGTACAGCAAAAACAACTAAGATCCACTGCAATGGACTTACACTAACTGTAAGTCCAAATCACAATTTTCAGCCACCCGACAAAGCTAAGCACACTCTTCCTGGTTTGCTAGAAAGGCAAGCCAAGTGGAGACAAATCTAGTGAGAGGTTGACTTAACATTCACATTTCTGATTCCTCAGGTGTCAGTTTTTAGAAGCAGCCTCTACAATGCAGAAACACTCTGCAGTGGATTGTTAAAAACCGGAGGATTGGGGGGAGGGGGGAGGTGCACAACAGAACATAACTGGTGTACAAATGAACAGCAACCAAATAATTGACACTGTTAACCTCTTTGGGATCATTATCTTCCTTGAGAATGGAGCTGGCTGAAATTCAGTGGCATGGCTCATGCATTCTCCCATCATTCATTTACTTGTTTATTCATTCAACAAACTTGTATTAGAAAATGGGCGATGCAGAGAGAACAGGAAGAAAAATCAGAGTAGATATCCAATTCTAAGGGGGCTTGCTATGATGGGGAAATGGGTACAGAATCAACCAAAGACAACAGAAAGCTAAACATTTATTAATCAACATGAAGTAGAGATGCTGTTGCTCTAGCTGGTTTGGCTCAATGGATAGAGCATCAGCCTTCGGACTGAAGGGTCCCAGGTTTGATTCTGGTCAAGGGTACATGCCTGGGTTGCGGACTCAATCCCCAGTAGGGGACATGCAGGAGGCAACTGACCAATGATTCTCTCTTATCTTTGATATTTCTATCTCTCCCTTCCTATCTGAAATCAATGAAAATATGATTGTTTGTGTGTGTGTGTGTTGTTTTGTTTTTTTTTTTTTTGAAAGAAGAAGGAGGAGGAGGAGAAGGAAGAGGAGGAGGAGGAGGAGGAAGAGGAAGAAGAAGAAAAGGAGGAGGACGAGGAGGAGGAGGAAAGAAATAGAGATAGTGTCCTGTGGGTGTGCTCATTCTGACTCAGCAAATCTAGGGAGACCACATATAGGAAGTGGCATTTAAAACATGTTTTGAAGGATGAGTAAGCTTCAAATAAGAGTTCTGTGCAGACTTCAAAATCATCATTGTCCCATAGTTCTATGTCGTTTTGATTCGAGCTCTGACAAATTAAAAGAAATCATTCCACTTCCATTTCTTCCCCACACACATTGACTGAACACCTGCCACGTGCCAAGCACAGAGCTCGGGCCTAAGGAGCACGGCCACGAAGAGGCTTCATTCCTGATCATAAGGCACTTAGCCGTGTGGTCCAGCGACCAACATAGCACCAGGTCATGCTGACACAGTACAGTTATCAAAGATCAAAACTACAAGCAGCGTGCAGGGTCCTATGTGCTCCAGCGAGTCCCGGGAGTTGTCTAAGGGCCTGGCTCCTGGTCAGGACCAGGGAACACGACCAGCTTCTCCACGACCACTGCCTGACATTCGGATGAAACAACTGCCCCATGGGGCAGGGAAGAGGGGCGGCCAGGGGCAGAGCGGGTGGTAGCAGGGGCGTTGCCCAGTGGTGGTTTTGCCATAGTAGAAAGCACTGAGGCAACACAGCCCTGTGGTCAGGTCTCGGGGTTACTTCTTCCTCCTTTGTATTTTTGCGCAGTGTTTCTCAGAGCCAGTGTACCAGGCTGAGGGTAAACATCCTTTGATTTTCATCATTTCTATCCTTTTTGTGTGTGTAACAATAGGTCTCATGAAGATCATAGGGGACTGTACATTTGAAAGGAATAAAAACATTAACTTGTTTCTTGCTGCTGTTTTTTAATAACAACCTAAAACAAGAAAACATATTGGAGCCAGCGATTTGGAATAGGACCAGGGGTTGTAAATGAGAGCTGACACTGTTTCCAGTGTTCCTGAGGTAGACACTTCTCTGATTCTCCTTTCCTCGCAGGTGAGTGAGAATTTCACACACCGTCCCTAATTTCACTCACCTGGGTAAACAGCCCGGCTGGTACTTCCCAAACTGAGAGAGAGCAATGGGTGATTTTTTTAAAAAAGATTTTTAAAATTGATTTTTAGAGAGAAAGGGTGGGGGGGGGGGGGGGGAGAGAGAGAGAGAGAGAGAGAGAGAGAGAGAGAGAGAGAGAGAGAGAGAGAAACATCTATTGGCTGCCTCTACACGCCCCTAATTAGGAATCATGCCCAATCATGCATGTGCCCTTCACCTAGAAGAATATGGGCAACCTTTTGGTGCACAAGAGAACACCCAACCAATTGATCCATTCCAGCCAGGGTGATAGATGGGAATTTTAAATCTATAGAGTTGTTTTTAGAATTAAATTAGATATTTAAATATAATATAATTAGCTTTTAGAATGAAATTGAATTAGTTGTTTGTAGAATTAAATTACATGTTTTGTAAAATTATAATTGACATGCAAATGGCAGGTACTTCCCAATATTCCTTTCTCGCCTTTCACAGGGACCCGACCCATGCATCTATCATTGTTGCCTCTGAGGTCAGACCCAGTTCCTCTCTTTATTGAGTCCACAAACACAGACATTTTCTGAGGACTTACTTTGTGTCAAGCCCTGTTTGCTTCTGAGGATTAAAGAGATGAGTAAAGCACTGTACTTGTCATCAAGAATTTAACTCCTATTAAGACTTTACTATATGGTTCTCACTAGCTAATCCATCTCTCTCAAGCTAATCAATCCTCCTCCTCAACCCAGCCCATCATTTCTCAGTCTGTCTCTCTCCATCCATCTCTCTTTCCCTCTCTGCCAACAAAACAACAACACATTAGTCCCCCTGCAATTCAAATATGAACCCTGAGCAAACAAGAAGGACATAATCTAAAGTGTTTTTGAGAGACAGGAATCCTGGTAACAAGAAACACTGTATAAATCCTAAACAGACACATTAGCAACAAAGGAAGTTTGAGATCATCAATGATAAGAAAATCAAATTTAAAGTCAAATAATAAAAGTGCTGCAATGAATCTCAGTGGAAATTTCAGATTCTAAAAATCAGAAGGAAACCATTAGAGATGTCATTCTTCTTTCATTCTCTGGATGGGAGATATTCTGGTCCTATTATAAGGAAACTAAAGTGTGCCAGCTTCAATAAATCCATTATCTATCCTGGCTTGCCATTTCTCTGATTTCTTTGTCTTTCTTAGTATACAACTCAAAACTAAAATATTATGTTCTCCAAGTGTTTATTCATAAATCACCATCCCTGCCCTGCCATCACCTACAGGCAAAATAGCCCCCGGTATCATTCTGATCTTACAATCCGATCACAGCTTGTATTGCAACATAATGTAGTTCTCATAAAATCAAAAAGTTTAAAAATTCTTCAAAAACTGTGCCAATGAATTACTCATATCACACATGACAAATAGCCAAGAAATGGGTAGTCAAGATGCCAGAGAAATAGGTATGTTTCCAAAAAATGTAGGTATGAATATTGGCACAGGTAGCTGATTGGAATCAAATAGACAAGAAGTTGTTGACTGGTTTAGAACAGCCAGAGACATGTCAGTTTGGTATCAAAAAAATGACAATAATTCAAGGCTTTAAAGATCTCTTCACTTTCTGATTTCAAGGAACAGAGAGGAGATGGAGGTGTGTGGGCACTAGTAAAGTAGAGCGTCTTGAAGAAGTCAGAAGAAGACAGCAGCCAAGGCTGGAATAAAAGAAGGGGAAGAACAGAAAGGGGAGGAGAACTATGAATTATAAGAAAAAGGAGCCCCAGCCTCCCAGAACATCTGTAGAGTAGAATGGCTATCTGGTAAACCTAGGCCAATGTGACCAGACACAGTCTTGAATAAATGTGCCTGTATGATGAAGCACTAACACAGCAGACACACACTGACCAAGTAGCCCAGAATAATAGATGGCTCTGAAGATAACATGGGTTAGGACTATGTATTGTTAGTTATCTATTGTTGTATAAAAAATTACCCAAAACATGGGGTCTTAAAACACTTCTGATGATCAAATAGTGTCAGTGGGGCAGAAATCTGGGCAACACTAAACTGGCTGCTCAGCTTTCATGTTTCACAGGCTGTGATCAAAGTGTTAGCTGAGCCTGGTGGCTGCATTCCTGTTTATTTTCTTTTGTTGTTGATACTCACCTGAGGATATATATTTTTTCTTTTTTAAAAAATGTATTTTTATTGATTTCAGAGGAAAGGAGAGGAAGAGAGAGATAGAAACATCAATGATGAGAATCATTGATTGGTTGCCTCCTGCACACCCACTACTTGGGACCAAGCCTGCCACAATCCAGGCATGTGCCCTTGACTGGAATCAAACCCGGGACCTTTCAGTCCCTGGTTGATGCTTTATCCACTGAGCCACACCAGCCAGGGCAGGATATATTTTCCCATTGACTTTTAGGGAGAGTGGAAAAGAGAGAGAAACATCAATGTGAGAGAAACACATTGATTGGTTGCCTCCTGCATGAGCCTCAACCAAGGGCCTGGGACTGGGAGAAGCCTGCAACCAGGCCGATGCTCTATCCACTGAGCCAGACCAACGAGGCTATTAAGCTGAGGGCCTCAGTGCCTTACAGGCATTGGAGACAACCATCCGGCCCTTGCCATGCAGGCTTCTCCAACATGGCAGCTTGTGTCATCAGAGTGTGCCAACCAAGAAGGTATCAGAGGTCTAGCAAGACAGAAGCCACAGTCTTTTGTAGCCTCATCATGGTGAGTTACAACCCACCACTTTTGCCTTATTCTATTCAGGAGAAATTAGCTTCAGCCCACCTTCGAGAGGGGATGGGGGGACTTATTCAAGGATCCTTGAAGGCCATCTTTGAAAACTGCCTGCCCCAGGCTAGCAGGCTCTCCTAACAAGATCCTGCTGCATCACCTTAGGGGGAAAGGAAACCCAAGGACAAAAAATGAGATGAATGATTCTGCCAGGCTGACCCACTGGGGCCTCCAGAGTTGGTTATAGGAAACGAATAAGGGACCCATCTTCTTGCACGTCTGAGCTGAGGACTCATTTATTTCTCCCTCCTATTCTCTCCAAGTCATCCTGTGAAATACACACCAAAACATGTGTCACGGAGAAAACTGCAGCTAAGACAAGCTAGGTCACAAATTTGTGGCAGACAGAGTTTGCATCGCAGCCTATGCAGCTCCAAAACCCATGCTTTTGCCATGGCCGGATGAGCCTCACTGTTGCTGGGATGTGTATTTTTCTTGGATCCCTTGCAACAGCAGAGATCTGTAGGGACCCATCAAGATCAAGTTCTTTGAGCTCTACTAAAATGTAAATACAGAATGCAAACTAAAATGTAGGGTGCCAACTGCCACCCATAGATAGTGTTCTGTAAAGCTCTCTGTTCGCTGGATCAACTCAGTCCCGGTGCTGACATTCCCCCAGATCAAGCTCCTGGTAGTCAATAGCATTCTGAAAGTCATGCATCAGTGCATGATCACCAGTAAATCTTATTGATTGGAACAAAGCACTGGTATGCAACGATTCATACTGAAAACGGCCAGAAGACGAGCCGCAGGAAGTGTGGCTCTCCTAAGTGTTTCTTATGCTCAAGCAGCTGGGGGTGCCCCGTGAGCTCAGAAAAGTGTCTCCCTGGCGGCCTGATGGATCCACGTGCACCATGTGCACCGTGTTCCCCAATGAGACTGCCACTCAGCCCCACAGGAAGTGTGATCTCATCCTGCCGCTCAGCCCTGGTTCCGCAGGCTGCTTTTGAACGAAAACAAGAACGGTTCGAAGGCAGACTTTCCCAAGAACTGCCTGCGCTTCTGTTCCAGGAAACAGCCAAAGGAACCGGAGGCGGTTGAGGACGAAATTCTGCAAACCCTGCCCTGCACCTGGGCTGTCCCGGCATCACTGAGAAGGAGGGGGAAGGTGGGACTTCACTCCTCCAGCGACCTCTGCATCTGTTGACAGTCCTGCGTTAGTGGCAGCTGAAGAGCCGCTCTGTCCTGGATTTCTCTGCTCATCGTCTGGCTCGGAGGCTCCATCTCTCAGTAACTATTTTATGTATTATCTGTCAGTCGGAAGGAAAGACAGGGAGCTCCCTTTGGAAAGGACGTGTGTGGGCAAATGACTTCCCCAAACAGATCTGTTGCTTTGAGGGAACTGGTAGACAGGAATCTGTTTCTTGAAAAGTTTGAGAGCTGTTAACTGGCGTCTTCTTCCCAGTCACTAACGCTCACTTAACTGTTCACGGGCTGCTGTCCCTGCCACGGGTACTCGCAGGCTATGGCCGCAGGACCTTACTGTCCCTGCAGGTCACATGAGCTCCGAATTGAACTGAGCGCTTGGGGGAAGCTAACACAGGGCCATTGGGGTTGGACATGTTCATACAATAGTGATCAAAAGTCAAAGGACCAGCGGCACGCTATTCCATTACCGCGAGACACAGTTCTCTATATTCCAAGCAAGTGAGATCTCTAAATGTGTACTTTGATTTTAAAATCATGCAAGGAGTGCCAGGCAGTCCTCCTGACTTACCTGAAGGTCTGGATAAGCCAGGGTCAATGTTTTCAAACAGGTTTTGCATATAATTAATTCCCTGGAAGAATCCATCTAGAGCTACAGAATTATCGTGGGCCAATGCTGCTTGTCACGGCTGCAAAAACAACGCATTGCTAAGTTATCACATTTTTAAAATGTGGACGGAGGTGGTGGGTCAGGAAAGCATTCAGTCCTACCTCGGAAGCTGTCAGCACAGTGATGCCTACACAGTTTAGTAGTTAACAAAAGGGAGATCTACGTGGCGAGTGGGTAAATGGTCATGTTCCCATGCTGGGTGCGCTTGGGGACATGTTTAGGTTGTAATTGGCGGATGCGCATAGTATGTTCCTGAGAACCGAGTTTTGAAATCTGCCCAGTGCTGGACTATTTTTAGTGCCGTCTGCTTAAGAGCTCAGGAATGTCCAGGCTGATAGCAAGCGCGAAAGACCCCTGGCCCTCTCTGCCACTCCTGTCAGCGGGCCAAGGTGCTGGGTGAGGGGCAGACACCCAGCCCGCGCATTATTTGAAACTTGATAATGAGCTGGATGTTTTTTGGATGATGACAGTATAAATGAGATTATTTAGAGGGCTCCAGGACCATTCTTTTTTGTTGTTGTTCAGATTTTAAAAAACGTATTGTTGATACTATTACAGATGTCCTTCCATGTTCTTAATCAAATAACTCATTTTTATTGTTGTTATTTTGCTGTCAAGTCAACCTTTGCAAGTCTAGCTTTCCCAAAGAAAATGTTGGTCTTATTTACAGGAAAAAAATACACACACACACACACACACACACACACACAAACACACACACAATATTTAGATGTGCTAAGCAGGACAATGGGGAATGTAGAGCAGGCAAACCCTGGGGGTCCTTCAATCTGGTCCCCTGCCTCCCACCCCATATCCCTGCCTTATTTCAGCATACAGATTCCACCAGCGTAATTAGTAGATGCCATCTGTTTTGGCATCACTTTGCTATTTTTAATGGATAGTCCACCTTCTTTTTTTTCTTTTTTTAATGTCTTTTGCAGAAAATCTGTGAAGTCTGAACAAGCAGCCTTCCCAAGATGTACCGCCTCTCTCAGCTGATGTCAACACCGGTGGCAAGTCAATGTGGGCGGATTGCGATATGCAATTATCTTCTGAGTGATGAGACGTCTTTGGGCAATTTCCTTGCTTTGATTTTGCTGATACTCGTACCATTAACCATCTGCCGGGCGCTCGTGCTTCCGAAATGCCAGTGTTCACTTTGGCAATGATTTTGACTTCATCTCTTTCCTTGAGAGAAATGTGATTATTTTTTTTCCTTTTAGTAGGAAAAAAAAAAAGTCACCAGTTTTTTTTAGGTGCCTGTGCATAAATGTGAAAGGAGATTGTTTATCTGCTACTATTAAGATGCAAAACTGTTTGTCTATTAAAAAAAAAAAGACAAAAAACAAAACACAACCACACTGAATGATTTTGACAGCTACTTGAAAATAAGGGCGTAACTAGTTAAAACGGTAGTGGTTTCCAGTTCCTTCCTCTTGTTATTTTCTCCCCAAACCCTGCTTCCAACCCTCCCTCACACACCTACTATTTTCTCTCTTTTTAATTTTATTAACTTTATTGGGGTGATGTTGGTTAATGGGATCGTGTAGGTTTCAAGTGTAGATTTCTGTGATGCATGAGCTGTTTATGGCCCTGCGTGTCAACCCTCCCACCCCAAATCAAACCTTCTTCCATCACCATATCTTGGTCCCCCTCCACTCCCCATCTCCCCACCCGCTCCCCTCTGGCCACCACCACGCAGCTGCCTGTGCCCATGAGTTTCAGTCTGAATATATCCCACGTAGGAGTGAAATCGTGGGATTCTTCGCTTTTTCTGGCCGACTTCTTTCACTTAGCATAGTATCCTCAAGGGCCGTCCACGTTGTCACAAATAGCAGTATTTTGTCTTTACTTGTGACTGAGCAGTATCGTGGGTGTCTATGCACCGCATCTTCCTTTCATAAATCAGCCAGCCCGGCCAAACGTCCCAATTCTTCTCGCCGCTTAGCTCTTCGTGGTCAGTAATGGGATCAGGTTTCGCCGAGCCTGTCGAGTAGAGGCGCTCCCAGCATTTCTGTAGAATATCAAAGTCTGTGTTCAGAAAATCAATGAAAGACAACTTTCCCCAATGGAAATCCATCGCCACGCTTTCACTTAACCTGCAATGAACGGATGCTTCTTTGTTAAGAATACCTCCTACATTAGAAGATCTTTTATATGAAACCAAACTTCATTTTTTTTCCCCTCCACCAGTGCCTTTTGCTCATTATTGTATAACTAGAGGCCCGGTGCATGAAATTCGTGCACCTGGTTGGGGGGTGGTCCCTCAGCCGAGCCTGCACCCTCTTGCAGTCTAGGAGCCCTTGGGGGGTGTCTGACTGCTGCGGAGGTGGGAGAGGCTCCAGCCACCACCACTGCACTCACCAGCTATGAGCCCGCTTCTGGCTTAGTGGTACTCTCCCTGTGGAAGCACACTGACCACCAGGGGGACGCTCCTGCATTGAGCATCTGCCCCCTGGTGGCCAGCTGTTCCATCAATTTGCATATTGGCCTTTTATTATATAGGATGGAAGTGCCTTAAAGTGTGCTGTTGAGAGCGCTCCATTCCGGAACAGAGGCCCAATCCTTCAGAAATACTGAGTCCACTAAAACAACTAGCGCCTGGGGAAGTTGGTTTCCGTGTTCTCCAGCTCCACACAAGATGCTGTCTCCCTGCTTTTCATGGGCCAGTTGGATGCTAATGGCGTATTGTTGCCTCATCCTGCCTTGAGGGGCCTCTAAAGGCTTGGTGAGCAGGAGAAGGCACAGGAGACAGACGCCCCTACACTATTTTGGCTTCCTGTGGGGACCTGGTGACAGGTTGTGTTAGAGCCCATTCGCTGGACGGCTGCCCCAGCTGGAGTCTCTGCAGATGCCTGGACATCAGCTAGGGGCACATTCCGATTCGCCCCGCCACTGTTCGCAGCAGCGTGGGTGCTGGGGAGGGTGATAAACGTCTACTTTTCTCTCCTTGGCTTGTGCAGGTTCCTCCGGGTCTGAGAGAGGATCTGCTGGAGAGCTGTCTCCCACGTGCATTTTCCCAAGGTATTCCATGGGGCTCTTTACAAATCAAATTCTCCTCCTGGATGCACTATTTTGTTGTATTCCTGGTTTAAGAACATGCATTTTAGGTATCGTCCAGTTGGGTATGGGTATATATATCTTTGATCTCACGCATGTAGAAAGTGAAGACTTGCCTTCTTCGTTTATCTTATTCTTTAGATTCCACATAAAAGTGAAATCATGGTATTTGCTTTTTTTTTGGACCGACTTGTTTCACTTAGCGTAATGCTTTCCAGCTCCATCCATGCTGTCGTAAATGGTAAGAGTCCCTTCCTTTTCTTTTTTTGTGGCCAAGTAACCTTCCATGGCATATATCCTTCTTCCCTCTCTAGCTTTGCCTGTGATTTCTTGGCTGGTGACAGTTCCTTTGACTGCTGCTCCCTAGATCCCCTGACAGGCTCCTACTTCCCCTGTCGCCGAAGTCCCAGGCTCCTCACCAATGGCTACTACATTTGGACAGAGGACAGTTTCCTCTGCGACAGAGATGGCAACATCACGCTGAGCCCGTCCCAGACCAGTGTGATGTACAAGGAGAACTCAGTTAGGTAAGTAGGAAATATCAGAAGTCCCATCCGACTATCAATTATTCATTTATTCCTCCATTCATTCACCAATTCAAGGTTCACTTATAAGGAGCCCATTCCTGCTCCAGACTGTGGAAGCACAAAGGCTGACAAGGGGCAGGTAGAGCAGACACATAAATACCAGAAGCGGTGATCTGATGCAGGCGCTGGGTTAGAAGTCTAAACGGGGAGGGATGAGGGGAACAGAAAGAAGGCAGATTTTATCGGGGGGAGGGGCGGGGAGCAGGTAAAAACAGCCTTCCTACAGATGGTGATGACTGATGAGAGTCTTGAGAGATGCAGACGTCAATGAAAATAGAAGCGGGGCCGAAACCAGTTTGGCTCAATGAATGGAGTGTCAGCCTACAGACTGAAAGGTCCAGGGTTCGATTCCGGTCAAGGGCATGTACCCTGGTTGTGGGCACATCCCTAGTAGGGGATGTGCAAGAGGCAGCTGATGGATGATTCTCTCTCATTGATGTTTCTAACTCTCTATCCCTCTCTCTCTTCCTCTCTGTAAAAACATCAATAAAATATACATTTAGAAAAATAGAAGCAGGAAAGGAGACTTCCAAAGAGAGTTCCGAGAGACCCCAAAGCAAAGTGGGGGGTGCAAGTAGCGTGGTGGGAATTACAGCGCAGGGTCAGAAGGGCTGGTCTGCAGGTGAGAAGATTGGGTGGAAGCAGGGCTGCGTGGAGGGCTCAGTTCCAAGCTAAGGAGATGAAGAGGAACCACGTTCAGACTGTCAGGTTTCTCCAGAGCGAGGTAGCCCTGGCTACAAGGTAGAGGATGGATTGTGGGGCACGGGACCTCCTTGTGCCTCACCCAACAGGTCAGAGCATCCTGCCCAGCCCAGAGCTCGCCTCTCTCGCAAACCTGCCCGGACCCCCGATGAGCTGTGGCCCGCTCTGCTCCCACACCCCGTGCTCTCGGCCTGCAGCTCCGGCTCAGCTGTCAGAGCACCCGCCCCTCCGGAGCGCAGTGACAGAGCAGAGAGGACGGAGCTCACCGCCTGGGTCTGCCTCTCAGCTGCGACCTCAGACCAGTGTCTCAACCTCTTGGTGCTTCGTTTTCTTTTTGTTTTTTGTTAATATGTATTTTATTGATTTTTACAGAGAGGAAGAGAGAGGGACAGAGAGCTAGAAACATCGATGAGAGAGAATCATCAATCAGCTGCCTCCTGCACACCCCCCCACCGGGGATGTGCCCGCAACCAAGGTACATGCCCTTGACCGGAATCGAACCTGGGACCTTTCAGTCCGCAGGCAGATGCTCTATCCACTGAGCCAAACAGGTTTTGGAATGTGCTTCATTTTCTTGATTTGAAAAATGGGGTCCCCCACGGTGCCTCCCTGGCAGGACCATTCTGAGGACGGCGTGAGTTACGACACGTCAGCCACCAGGGCAGACGCCTGGCACAGAATGAGCTCGGTGAAAGCCTTCGCGGCCCCCTGGCTGCCCTTGTCTTTCTCCCGCACTAGCTTGTACATTGCTGGCATCCGAGGTTTTGTTCTTTTACTTATTTTATTATTTTTTAATCCTCGCCTGAGGATATTTTTCTATTGATTTTTAAGGAGACGGGGAGAGAGAGGGAAAGACAGAGAGAGAAACATCGATGTGAGAGAAACACATGGATTGGTTGCCTCCTGCACGAGACCTGACCAGGGCCTGGAGCTGGGGAGGATCCTGCAACTGAGGTACGTGCCCTTGACCAGAATTGAACCCGGGACCCTTTAATCCGCAAGCCAACGCGCTCTCTCCACTGAGCCAGACCTGCTAGGGCCCACGGTTTTGTCTTTCATCTTGGCATCCTTGACTTTGATCCAAGCACCTGCTGTGGAAGTAAACTGAGCGAGCTTTGTGGGCCTGAACGGGAGAGAGGGCTCTGTCCTCAAAGCGCTCCCACCAAAACCTCTGTCCCGAACCTGGGCTGACGGCTCTTCCTTACCCTCCATGCTGCTCTCCTCTCTCTCCAGAGTATTTAGAAAGAAAAAGAGAGCCCACCGCTCCTTCTCCTCTCTCCTCCGCCTCGGGGCCCCTAAATCCTGGCTGCGGGGAAGCATCTTCGGGGATGCCAGCTCGTCCCCGGGCGAGGCCGTCTGGCTGGAGGGAGCCGGCAGGCTGGACGCGCACCCTTGCAGCGACGGTGGTGAGTCTGCCCCTCCCTTCCCGGGTGAGACAGTTCCGAGCAAGCGCCACGACGCCGGGTCCAGGACTAGTGTCAGCTCCAGAGACCACAGTCGTTTGGACAGAGAGGATGGGTCACACATAAAAACATCACCTACAGCTCTCTCCGCACTACTCATATGACCCAAATACATATGTGTCCTAGAATTTACATGCATAAATTAGCAAGCTGATTAAACTTGGAAAATACATGCACATCTCCAAGGTGTCCTTTCTGCAGGGGGTGTGGGTGGAGGGAGAATGCAGGAGTCAGAGTTCAGGGCCTCGTGTGGGCACATTGTGATAGTTACTTAACTTGGCCAACTCTCAGTTTTTTTCATTTTTAAACAAGATATGTATGCATAGTGTGATAAGAATATATTTACATATTATACTCTATATCAGCATATTCCCATTGAAATGTGTATGTATGTATTAGATCTACCATATGCATGTATTATGTAATGCACATAATATAATACTAGAGGCCCAGTGCATGAAATTCATGCATGGGTGAGGGAGGGGTGGTCCTCTCAGCCTGGCTTGTACCCTCTTCATTCCAGGATCCCTTGGGGGATGTCCAACTGCTGGTTGGATTGGGCCTAAACCAGGAGTTGGACATCCCTCTCGCAATGTAAAACCATTGGCTCCTAACTGCTCTCCTGCCTGCCTTCCTGATGGCCCCTAACCACTCTGTCTGCCAGCCTGGTTGCTCCTAACTGCCCTCCCCTACTCGCCTGGTCACCCCTAACCACCTCTGCCTCGGCCTCCGCCACCATGGCTTTGTCTGGAAGGATGTCTGGAAGGATGTCTGGTCTAATTAGCATATTATCCTTTTATTAGTATAAATTATTATATGTAAATATGTATAATATATCAAACATAGTAATGTAAACTCAAAGCATATTTTAATATTCAAAGGAACAGTAAAGATCAGGCATAGTTCAATGCTTGATACTCAGGAATTTGTCCTTATAATTACTTTTACCAGTAGGGAAGAAACAGTGGGTATTTATTGGGACAGTTACCCAATGCCTTGGGATAAGCACGGGAAAAAACAAGAATCTGGTCCCTGGAGGATAGAGTTTGGGAATCACTGTTCCGAAGGCAGTGTTTCCCAGATTTGGGAATTCTCGTCTTATTTTCCCATGGATGCATCTTCAAAATATGTCCAAACAACTTTAAAGCAATTGGACCACAGCAGCATTGCGCATGCTTGATGAGATAGCTTGTTAAAAATGCTCAAGGTTTCTGAGTGTCTTCTAAATACTGCGAATCCAACCGCCCCCTCCAAAGCCTGCAGTGCCTCAATAGGGGTGCAAAGTGCTTGGAGATCTCTCCCTTCAGCTGCCAACTGTGACCAGCTCTCCCCAGTTTTCTCTTTCCCCTCATTTACCCGAGGCCCCGGGATTTTGATCAGCAATTTCCTTTTATCTGGAAATGTAGCCTCGTTAGAAGGACTCAAGAATTCAAAATTGAGTTTGTTTTGCTGTTTTCTCTCTGGGCAATGGATGCAATCAAAACTCACTTCCCCTCATTTTCTCTTGCTTCATTTTTCAGGCTAAAAGAACTTTTTTTTTGGCCGTTGCCTATTTTGGTGGTCCTCGGTTCACCCCTTTCACAGCTGTGTCGAGACCCCTCCCCTCATTAGTTGCAATTCATTCTGCAGGCAGCTCCCTGGACCCCAGGTCTGCGGTGGGGGTTGCATTCCTGGAGGAGGCCCCTGAGTCCCAGTGAAATGGGTCAGGCAGGGAGGACTGGTGGGGACTCCCCGCTCTGTGTCTGCCAGTCCTGAGACAGAATGGCAAGCTGGCCTCGGGCGGGCATCCCAGCTGGAGGCAAGCGGTTCTCTCTGGAGCTCATCATTGTCTCTCCGTGAATATCCTCATGGGAGCTTCTGTGTGTGGCTTTGTTTCCTTCGGTAGCAAACAGCAGTGCCCGTCCTACAGGCAGGGAGATGGAAATGTGCTGGGAAGAAGCAAGTCCAGCCTTCTAGACAGAAGAAAGCGATGCTGGATGAGCCCGGGAAAGAGGGTATCTTCAAATCTAACACAGGAGAGCTAACCGCCTAAGCCAGTGGTCGGCAAACCGCGGCTCTTTGGCCCCTTGAGTGTGGCTCTTCCACAAAATACCACGTGCAGGGGAGCACATACAGTGCGATTGAAGCTTCGTGGCCCATGAGCAGAAGCCGGTTTTCAGCTCTCAAAAGAAATTTCAATTGTTGAACTGTTGATATTTGGTTCTGTTGGCTAATGAGTTGGCTGGCCTCTGGCCAAAGGGCAGAGGAAAAATTAAATATCAGTTGGAGGCAAAACATGTGTTTTCAGAGATGAAAAACCCTTGACCATTTTTTTTAATGCTGAGATATTTATTTATAATATTTATTTATTTATTTATTTATTTATTTATTTATTTATTTGGCTTCCCTCCTTAATGCCATCTTTTCTTCTAAAAAATCCTGTGTGGCATTTCCAGAATGCCTCGCAGGATGCAGTTTTCTGTGTCACCCAGCTCTCGGGGGCAGTGGCATAGGCTCAGGAGGGCAGCCTGGGCACTAGCGCAGGGCAGCTTTCACTGTCCTGGCAGCCTCACCCACATCCGTCCAGATCTTAATGAGGCGCCACTCGTGACTGTGTAATCAGCCCTGAGAGCTCCCAGCTCCTCCTCTGTCTGCCTTAACGTGACCTCTTGGCCTGTCTTTTCATTAAGCAGCTTTGCTGAGGCCTGATGGCTCCATGAAGGACTGTGCGTGCTGAATATACCTAACTCAATGAGCCCAGACATACATATGCAAACACCCGTGACACCCTCCCCATCAGCAAGGTGACACCCAACACATGAAGGAGTTTTCTCAGTTCCCCTGTGGCTTGTTTTGGTTTCTCTGATTTTTGTAGTAAGAACATTCCGTGTAAGAGCCACTCTGCTGGCGAGTTTTGCGGAGCATAAAACACCGTGTGGCTGGCTGTAGGCACCATGCCCTGGACCAGCAGATCTCTGGGGTCTTCTCTCGGGATGGCCCTTGTGGGCAGCCTCGGTCCCCCTCTTTCCTCCCTCCCCCCGCTTTATCTGCATTGAGAGTCACTGAACATGCACACACACACACACACACACATGTGCACACACGCATGCCCACGCATGTGCGCACATGCATACGAGCCTCTGCCTTTCCAGGCGGTGACTTTGACTGTGCGCTGACAGATGACTGGGCGTCGGAGCGGCCGGATGCACAGTCCCTGGCAGCCTCCTCCTCCGGCCACGGCACGCCTGAGCCTCCCAGGAAAGACCCCCTCCGAGGGGCCCTGCAGCCCCGGGGGACGGCAGCTGAGCATCTCCGAGGGGGCATTTTGGACCATTCAAGTGAGTGTTTCCCTCTGTGCCTCACCCACATAATCCTTCCTCCAGGGCCCGAGAGCAGCGACCGCCACACACTGAGGAGGGGCATCGCCCTGCCTGGGGTGGGGGGGATGGGGGAATGGGTGATATCAGCCCCGTGGGACGCGTTCACAGAGGGGGTGACTGACCCCGGGCGTCACCTTAGAGACATCAGAGGGACTGGATGGGCAGTGTTTTGGTTGGTTGGTTGTTTGGTTGGTTGGTTGTTTTTTTAAATGTGTTTTTATTGGTTTCAGAAAGGGAGAGGGAGAGATAGAAATATCCATGATGAGAGAGAACCACTGATCGGCTGCCTCCTGCGTGCCCTACACTGGGGCTAGAGCTGACACCCTGGGGCTGTGCCTCGACTGGGAATCAAACCCTGACCTCCTGGTTCATAGGTCGATGCTTAGCCATTGCGTCACGCTGTCCGGGCTTGTTTTTTTTTAAAAACCCTGAAAACATTTGGCAAAATGTTAAACTTTATTAAATCTGGGAAGCGCATGCACAGGTGTCTGTTATTCCAGCTTCGTGCTCTGCTTTGCATTTGATACATTCCGTGTGAGGGAAAGAGAAAAGTCCTTTCACGCTATGTCCCTGCGAGGAGAAGGCCGAGGACGGAAAGCGGCTGGGGTTTCCTGTGGGAGCCAGTCGGGAATAAACCCAGCAAGCGCGTCCCTTCGCCTGTGGTTTGCTAACATCGCATCACTCACGTTTGCACCTGGTACCATATGGGGCCCAGGTATCCACTTCCCAGGACTCAGCGCCCCGCTCCCCACCTGTCCGCTGGGCCTCGGAGACAGCTCCCCACACCCTCGGCCTCCGAAACTGGGCCTTTTCCCCCTAAAGGGAGAGCATCACAGTCCCACCCGCCAGTGACGAACAGCACGCGGGTGGAGCACGGAGCATCCTGTGTCATGTATGCTAAGGATCCCACCCGTGAGGTTTGGCAAACAGGCCGGGGCCTATTTATACTGTCCTCTACGCCTTCCCGTGGTAACCCTCCAACGGCTCCGATTGCTTTTAGGCAATTAAAACGTCACTCGGAGCTCTGCTTGGTCCAACCCAGGCTTATCACCGCCGGAGCACGTTCCGTCTTTCCCACGGTGGCTCAGCAGCACATGCTTGGTTGATAGCAAAGGGCTTTGCAAGGCCGGGCAGCTCAGGAGAAAGGCTCTGTGTTTTGCCTTTGAGAGACACCCCATGTGCAAAGTTGCAAATTCTCTTTCCCTTCAGACAAAGCATTGCGTTCTGGCCGGATGGGGTGTTTCAGTCTAAGCTCCGGCCCCTCAGCGCTGTGTGACTTTGGACACATTTCTTCACTCCTCTGGTCCTGGTCTCCTCGTTTTCAGAACGTGGGGTGCTGGTTCCTCCTCCGGGTTTGCTGGGTTGATTGAAGGAACCGGGGTCTGAGAGCTCTGTGGATAACACGGCACTCCCCAGGCGTAGGCAGCATCGGAACTCGATGTTTGACATTAGCATTCAGTCTACCAACCCTTTCCCCAACACCAACGTGAAAGGAAGGCCCCCAATTCCTTATGGGGCATGCCGTAGTCATTTATTTTTAATGATAGAAAAAATATTTTTTTTTTTTATAGCATTTGATGATTTTATCTTGTTGCTTCTGACAAGTTGTTCGGGATGACTCATCTGAAAACTTGCTTTTTGGCGTGTAGAAGAGAAGTGTTACTCTGATTCCGCTGCTCCAAGATTGTTTAACCAGCGATGACTTCTAATCCATTCGTTTCTTTTTCTCCTGTTAGAAACCAGTTTGTTGAGAGAGATCTCCTTTCAAACCGTTCTGCTTGCTGCGTGCTTGGCCATGTCTGCATGTGCCAGGTAAGTCCCGTTCTGTCATCACGCGGGGATGATTCATAATGAATGAAGCTGTCACCGAGGGCTGACTCACTTGCCTTACCCCACAAAGCCTCCCCAGGTAGCGCTATGGTTGGGGTGTTATCGTTTGTCTGTCCGTGGTAAGCACTCCCTCCTCTTATTATCTCCCAAAGCATACAAAAGCCAGGGCATCTTGCTAGAAACTGGAGGTTACTGTGTATCCTCCTTTGTTTAAATCCTCTGGGACTCTTCGTTACAAATTCAGACCAAGGACCTCTGCCTGGAGTTCAAGGGCAGTTCGGGTTCCCACCAGGGGACTGAGTGTCCTGCTGGGACTCCACCGTTCCCATTGTATTTTTATGTCCTCACACAGTGGTCGGCATACTGTGGCTCTCAAGCCACATGCGGCTCTTTGGCCTCTTGAGCATGGCTCTTCCACTCGCCTGGGTGAGTCTCTCTTGAAGATGTGGTGTTAGAAGAAGTTTAAGTTTAAAAGATGTGGCTCTCCGAAGAAATGTCAATCGCTGTGCTGTTGCTATTTGGCTCCGTGGACCAGTTTGCCGACCACTGTTCCAGGGATGCCTACGCAGCATCTCGGAGCACAGAACGCCCTTGCCTGATGAAAGGCTGGTTTCTGTTCCACCCGCCGTCAAGCACGTGCTTCCTGTCCTTTTCTCGCCCGAGGCTCCGGGCCAGTATCACTTCCCTTCTGTGCGGAGCCCACGCGTGCCCCAGGGCCTTTGCACTTGCTGTTTGCTCTGTTGCCTAGTACAGTCTCTCCCCCAAAGCCTCATCATGTATGTCTTTCCGGAATCTGCTCCAATGTCACATCATCAGAGAGCCCTCCCCTGACCACTCTCTATCACACAGGCCCCACTTTACGTTTCTTCAGAGCACTTATGAGGTGTTCAGGTGGGTAAGCGTTAATGAGCTATTTCTCCCACAAGAATGGGAACTCCGCGACTATGGCATCCCCAGCTCAGGGGCTCCTGGGTATTTGCTGAATCAGTCCTAGGCTCTCTGAAAGTGCTGCTTGCCCTCACCTCTCGAGGGTCAAATGCCTCGTGTCACATAGGGGAGTTGTGTTTTTTAAAAATATATTTTATTGATTTTTTACAGAGAGAAAGGGAGAAGGATAGAGAGCTAGAAACGTCGATGCGAGAGAAACATTGATCATCTGCCTCCAGCACACCCCCTACCGGGGATGTGCCCACAACCAGCGTACATGCCCCTGACCAGAATCGAACCTGGGACCTTTCAGTCTGCAGACGGATGCTCTACCACTGAGCCAAACCGATTTCGGCTGTTTTTTAGATATAGTATCCTGGATCCCATCACCTCAGATGCCAATTTAGAGCTAACGAGAATCAATATTTTAAAATGAGCTTCCCAGATAATTACGAGGTTTGAGAAGTATTTTTAGATCACAATGGGACCAAGGAACAAAAAATGGCGGGGGGGGGGGGGGGGGGGGAGGGTAAAGGGGAGAGGGGGGGGGGGGGCTACGGTTAAAAATAAACTTGCAAACTCCTGCTTCCTGTGTCACATTGGAGGACCATGAGGTGCCTCAGCATGCTCTGGCCACGGTGAAATAAGGTAGAGAGAGATGGGTTCGGCTTTGTTTACTAGTAACTCGGCATTTCCTGCTTTGTCCCGGAGCCCTTTCCTTTATGTCACAGGACAGTAAACATAACATTCCTCTCAAGTTAATTTCTGTAGATATACCTCCCCTTAAGAGGGGAGCTTAGCCCTGGCCGGTGTTGCTCAGTGGATAGAGCGTCGGCCTGCAGACCAAAGGGTCCTGGATTGGATTCCGGTCAAGGGCACTACCTTGGTTGCAGGCTTCTCCCTGGCCCAGGGCCCTGGTCCAGGGCTAATGGGAGACAATCAATCAATGTGTTTCTCCTTCCCTCTCTCTTTCATTTTCCCTAAAAGTCAATGGAAAAATACCCTCAGGTGAGTTTAACTCCCCACCCCTTGAGTGTGAGCTGCATTTAGACACTTGCTTCAGGAGGGTTGGTTTTTGTTGTTGTTGTTGTTTTGTTTTGTTTTGTTTTTATTTTTCTTCCCTTTTTGTATGTATTTGTAATCTCTTTCAATAATTCATAGTTTGAGCACAAAAACAAAGAAGACATTATTCTTCAAAAAGAGACCCTCCCCCCGCCCCCACCCTGTGACTCAGTGGTTCAGCAGACTGGCTAAACCCCAGATGTCTAACTGGCTTCTGGGGTGGGGCTGGAGAGCAGGAGGCACTTCGAGGTTCTCCCTTGCTTTTCTTCTAGAAGGTTTAGGCTTCTGTGGTTTCTATTTCAGTCTATGACTCATTCTGAGTCAAGGAGCGAACATGTGCAGGCTCATTCTTAGCACGTGGATGTACAGTTGTTTCAGTGCTAGAGATCATTCCGCTCTCTCTGTGTGTGTCTTTTCTTTGAGCCGCCTCTCCTCTCCCATTGTCTACATTTCTTTCCTTTTGTCAATGCAGCACTATCTCTATTACTGTAGTTTAAAAGTGTTTTCATTGATTTTAGAAAGAGAGGAAGGAGGAGGAGGAGGAGGAGGAGGAGGAGGAGGAGGAGGAGGAGAGAGACAGAGAGAGAGAGAGAGAGAGAGAGAGAGAGAGAGAGAGAGAGAGAATCATTGATGGGCTGCCTCCTGCACGCCCCCTACTGAGGATTAAGCTGGCAACCTGGGCATGTGCCCTGAAAGGGATTCAAACCGGAGACCCCAAGGTGCATAAGATGAAGCCCAAACAACTGGGCCACACTGGCCGGGACTCTGTGGTTTCATAGTAAATGCTGACCTCGCACATCTGTAGTCAGTCCGAGAGGACCTCTCTCGGGTCAGCAACTCACAGCTACTCCGCTGACCACAGCGTCTTGTTGGTGCAGATGGCTCCTGGGAGGACTGCTAGCCGGCGTCTTCACGTGTTCCTTGACCGTCATGATTGCTTGTAAGTCACCATTTCCCGCACGACAGCTCTGCTTCCCGTACTCCCTTCCAATGCCGGTCATGCTAACGTGTTTTCTCTCTCTCATCCGAGATGTTGCCAAGTCCCTGCTAGCAGCTCAGCCTCGCCAGCTACTTCTGAGCCGGCCCCGGCGCTCGGTGAGTGCAGCCCTGTTACCCTGTCTGCGCAAAGGTGGCCGTGAGCCGAAATCCCCCATCCCTCCGGCCTGAGTGAGGACTGCAGGGACTGTCCCGGAACGGCCCTGGCAGCTCGTCCTCACAGAGGCTTTCTCTTACCACGAACATCCGACAGTCTGAGCCTGGCTCTGAAGCCTTCCATCACATAGACCGAGTTAATTTTTAAAAAATATATATTTTATTGATTTTTTTTACAGAGAGGAAGAGAGAGTTAGAAACACCGATGAGAGAGAAACATCCATCAGCTGCCTCCTGTACCCCCCCCACACACACACACTGGGAATGTGCTGGCAACCAAGGTACACGCCCTTGACCGGAATGGAACCCAGGACCCTTCAGTCCGCAGGCCGACGTTCCATCCACTGAGGCAAACCGGTTTCGGCCCGAGTTCATGTTTAAGGCAGCAGGACTTAGGACATAGCATGAACGTTAATTTTTAAATAGTTCTAAAGGGCTCTGATAGGTCCGTAGCCCCGCACTTTAAAAATACACCCATGCCGAAGCCTTTTTTCTTAGCGTCTCCCCAATCACTGACGCCCTGCCCGTGAAATGATCCCTGTGACCATCGCTGACGTCCCTGCCATCCCTCAGGCATGGGCACAATCGCCCTGGCCGCTGGCTGCAGGCTCAGCATCTTCCAAAGGGGGGCTGGGCCCGGGGGAGGAGCTCGCAGAATGTCAGAGAGCCAGCGAGGCCCGGTCCCTTGCAAGATGGACGGTGTTAATTACCTTCCCGTCCCCGTGCAGCCGGAGGCCTGCTCCCAGGCTGCAGGCCGAGGCCCCGCAATCCAATGAGCCCGCAGGCCTTTGCTTTGCTCTCCGCGCGCCGTGCCGCCGTGTGCGGAGTCTCCCTTAACTCTGTGGTCGCAGCGAGGCTGGGCGGAGATTGTGTTGAGAGCTCCAGCCGATATATCGATCTCCTGGCGCTTTAAGCGATGCTTCCCCTGAGCCGCCTGGCATTCCAGGCTTCTGGGTGCAGGCTCATATGTTAAGGTGACCAGACGCAGTCCCGATTTTTAACAATTTGTCCCGCATCCCACGGCGTGTTTTTTTTTTTTTTTAAAGTCTATATTTAAATCTATATTTTTTATCGGGACTTTTAAAAAAATATATATTTTATTGATTTTTTACAGAGAGGAAGGGAGAGGGATAGAGAGTTAGAAACATCAATGAGAGAGAATCATCGATCAGCTGCCTCTTGCACACCTCCTACTGGGGATGTGCCCGCAACCAAGGTACATGCCCTTGACCGGAATCGAACCTGGAGCCTTTCAGTCTGCAGGCCGACACTCTATCCACTGAGCCAAACCGGATTTGGTGATCGGGACTATCCCGCCAAAAGCGGGACGTCTGGTCACCTTATCATATATCGCTAAGTTTTGTCTAATCTGATGGAGCACTGGGCCCTGTGGCTGCCAGAGAAGGCCTTGCTCTTCGTCCTGGTAAACGAATGGCATTTGTTTAAAGCTCTCCCAAGGTACCCCCCCCCCCCCACACACACACACACGTGCTCTGGCTGCGGGTGGCTCTCCTCCTCATGGGCATCAGCCCTGGGCTGCTTGTGAGCTGTGAGGTCTGCACCTGAGTCAGGACTGGCCTGGCCCCACAGGCAATGCCTGAACGGAAGATTCCCACCCGGAGAGTCATTGCGTAACCATAACCCAGCTTTCGGACGTGAAGACTTTCCTGTCGGTCAGATGGTGCCACCTGCATACACCCCTCTTCTGGGGGTTTTAAGGGGAACGTGTACAATGAACTGACCCCCTCTGGAGAGTCGGGGGGGTGGGAGCAGATGCCTGCAATCTGAGGCCAGGCCTCCGGACTCCAAATGCCCAGGGGTAGGGCTCCCCCTCCAGCAGCCTCTCCCGTAACTCCTGGCACGTTGACTGCGGACGTGGTGGAGAGATGTTTGTAAGACCCCAGAGCGGCGTCACAGAGCCTCTTCGGTCCGTCTTCAGGACTTGCCTGCTTCGTGCGGCACTGGACACCCAGGTCCGCTCAGCAGACAGACCTCTGTGGACTCGTTGAGGTCAGTCACTGTCACCAGGTGCCCGGGTTGCGTGCGGGGCCTTGAGAATGCAGAGTCCAATGCAGGGTGGGAAACCCTGTTCCAGCCCAGGGCCAGTTGGTGGTGGCGGGTGCAGTGGGCTGGGATGAGTGGGAGCAGTGTGGCACTCCTGAGGAGTCCTGGATTACGAGAGGGTGCGGACCAGGCTGAGGGACCCCACTTGGTGCACAAACTCTAATTTAGTCTGAGTTTGGCCCTGGCCCAGTAGCTCACTTGGTTGGCTCATCGTCCCAATATGCCAAGGCTGCGGGTTCAATCTCTGGTCAGGGTGCATACAAGAGTCAACCAATGCATAAATAATTGGAACCACAAAAGAATAACTCTTTCTCTCTCTTCCTCTCTCTCTCTCTCTCTCTGAAAAGAAATAAAATAAGAAATAAAGTCTGTGAGTTTGGGGACTGTCTACATTGTCTACCGTGTCCCTTTTACATGAAGGTCATCTCAGGTACCCCCCCCCCCCCCCCCCCCCCGCCCCGCCAGCCTGCCAGTGCTGCATTAGCATCAGCCGTCTGCGTTTTGCCAACTTATGGCTTCAGGGTGGCAAAATAGGTAACCTCTGTTCTCTCTTCGCTTACACGCAGGGAGGCATGTTTATATAGTTGGTGAATGAATGGATCAACTTCAGGGAGTAGAAATATGGGAAAACCCCACTTGGTACCCTAGGACATTTCAGTTGTAGAAGGGGCAGGGGGAGAAAACAATATGAAGTGGTAGTTACTGGTAACTAAGTAATGAGCCCGTCAGAGGGAAGAAAGAGAACTGAGAGGTGCTAAGGCAAAAAACAAAACAAAACAAAACACAGTCGCTGGATGTTGAAGCTCTGCTTTCCTAGTTATCATTCAAGCTAGTGTGCCCGGGCGTGCACAGTGATTAGACATGGCGCTTCCTGTGTGTGAGGATGAATTATGCATTTCCGGTCTCCTTTCTCTGATCTAGGTTTGCCAAAATTTGACAACCATTCAGGAGTGCCTGTGATGAATGTCTTCAAGCTGAATATCCGGAAATGGTTCCATTTGCAGTCTGCTTGGAATCAACTGCTTTACTGGAAGGGAGTGAGCGACTGGATACTCGAGATACATTGGGTTATGTGTGTGTGTGTGTGTGTGTGTGTGTGTGTGTGTGTTTTTAAAAAAAGACCAGTTTAGGCCTCGTAAAATTGTACCGTGTTTGTGAAAACAATATTAATTCATCTTTCCGCCGCACACACTGGCAGCGGAAAAGGGAAGCACGGGGAATGTGGTAGAGGACATGCCAGCCGGGTGAATATTGTCCGGTTATTCCCTGAGGCCGTGGCGCTCACACTTTAATTAGCAACAGGGGATTCTACCAGGAGCTTGTAACAATGCAGATTCCTGGGCCTGACCACACCGGCCTGTCCTCTGCTCAGCTGCTTTTTAGTTGAATAATGAAAGCGAGTTTATAGAACCAACACCAACATGAATTGACACCAAACTGTAATTAAGTGCAGTTTATACTTAAAATCTCACATGGAAAATGTCACTATTTTTCCAAAAGGAGTGGCTCGGCTTTGGGGGTGACTGTGGATGATGGTTGATGGAAAAGGGACAGGACAGAGACATTTTTTTTGAAAGGTAGACTCTTAATTTAATTTTTATTTTTAATGGAATTTATTGGGGTGACACAGGTTGATAAAATTGTGTAAGTATTAGGGGTGCAATTCTACAATACATCATCTGTATATAACACTGTGTGTTCACCACCCCAAGGTCAAGTTGGAAGGTATATACTTATTTTGAACTATTTTCTTTCCCAAGGTTCACCCTTCTTGGGGTTCCTGAGAACCTTTCACTAAAATTGCTCTTACAATAAAAACTCAGAAAAACTGCTTTCAGGCAAAATAAAGGCCAAACCCCAGAGTGCTTGGAAAAATGAAAAGGCGGTGCTGTTGCAAAACCAGTGAGGGGGCTGCCCAGAAGCTCCCTCTCCACCTGCCTGCTTGGGGTATGTTCCCAAATGTGTCAGGCAATTCACATGTGTTCTGTATAGTATTCTCTGTAGAGAAACTTATGTGGAGAAATTTGTCTTTGCTTAAAATGGTAATGTCAAAATATCACTGTTATGTCATTTGTATTTAGTGGATCTGGGGTTGAAAAATCCTATATAATAAAGAGGTAATATGCAAATTGACCCTCACACTTTTGTGTCAAAAGATGACTCTCCCAACATTATCACAAGATGGCCGACCCATGTCATCACAAGATGGCCAACAGGGGAGGGCAGTTGGGGGTGATTGGGCTGGCAGGGGAGCAGTTAGTTAGGTGTCAATCAAGCCAACAGTGGAGCAGTTAGGGGGCGATCAGGCTGGCATGCAGAGTGGTTAGGGGCAATCAGGCAGCCCTCCTGCACTCTGTAACCATGCCATTGGCCACACAGGTCTCCAAACCCACCTGCTCACCCACCAGGAGTGAGGCTCAGTCACCTGGCCTACCTACCTGCGGGGGCTGGGGAAGGCAGGGAAGCAGGTGGGTCTCCCTGAGCTCCAGCAGCCTCTGCCACGCCCTCACTTTGAAGATGAAGAAGGTGCATCTCAGAGAGAACGCTTCGCCTGCACACACCCCTGTCATCAAGCCTCCTGTGTTGTTTCCTGCATCCTCACCCCAGCCCACAACGCTACCCCAAGTAAAATCTATTGTGGTAACTTCAAAAACAACTCAGATCCAGAATAATCCGCCTGTGTGACAGGGGATGCCAGTCCTCCACAGCCCGCTATTGCTCACGCAACACAGCAGAGCAGACACCTGCCAGCTTGGCACGCTTGGCATCTGTGCCACAGACCCCTACCAGGCCTTGAGGAAGGTCTGATCATGTATTTTTTAAAAGTCTAGCCCGCTGCGAGGCTGTGGCCCCTGCATCTGTCCCACGCTGGGCGACATCGGCTCCAGCTGCCGCTGCGCCTGCGAGCGTGCCCGCTGGTGCCTTGGGGGTGCGGGCAGCTTAGCAGGTGGAAGCCCAACTCTGGCCACCGCTTGCAAAAACCTCTGGGTCCTTCTGTAGCCACAACAGAAATAAAAATGAAGGGAAGGAAACGCAGGGTGGGGTGGGTGGAAACCAAGATTTATTTTCAATGAAAAAAAAGTCATTTTGCAGTTCTGGCTCTGAGTGATCTGCTGGGAGGCTGAGAGCCCAAACTCAGTGCCAGCAGCTCCATCTCTCTCTCTCTCTCTCTCTCTCTCTCTCTCTCTCTCTCTCTCTCTCTCTCTTTTTTAGTAAAAGGAAAAATTTAGGTCCACACTCCAGAGCCTTCTACGTTCCTCATCTTCCTTGATTTTTCCCAGGTGGTCACAGCCTTTGAACGTTAGCACAACAGTGGCCTGGGGCTGTGTCTCTAAGCCTCAACTTCCTCATCCATAAAATGGGAGCATCCTTATGAGTATTAAGTGAGTCCACACAGCAAACTACTGAGAGCTTAGCCCAGTGCTAGACTCGGGGTGAGCGCTTCCGAGGGGGGAGCTGCCATAGTTCCGTTGTTAGTATATTGTAATAGCAGCGGTGGTGGTGGTGGTGACATTGGTGGTGGTGGAAGCCGTTTTCCTGGTTTCGGGGACCATGCGGATTTCTGGCTTCTTGGTGAGATGGCAGAAGGAAGAGACAAGACGAGGGCGGAGGCTTGGCCAAGGCCATGTCCGTCCCGCTGGGCAGATCCTTCCTCCGCTGCTGCACTCGAGGCAGAGCGGAGTCAGGACACGAGGCTTTGGATTTAGACAGACAGAGGTCTGACTTGGCGGCCCGGCCACGTGGAGCTCTGTGATATGGGGCCTATCACCCAGCTCCTTTGAACCTCAGAAGTCCATGTCTTGCGATACTCTCCAGAGGGGAGCGTCTCCTTGTTGTCATGGAGAAGGTCAAAGAGGACAGAGTGAGCAGACACAGTGGCATGAGAAAGGATTCACTTTAAAAATGAGCATACTGCCCGGCCAGTGTGGCTCAGTGGTTGAGCGTGGACCTATGAACCAGGAGGTCATTTGGGTTCCTGGTCAGGGCACATGTCAGGGTTGCAATCCCCAGTAGGGTGCAAGCAGGAGGCACTTGATCAATGACTCTCTCTCATCATTGATGTTTCTCTCTCTTTCTCTCCCTTCCTCTTTGAAATCAATAAGTATATATTTAAAAATAATAATAATAAATAAAATAAAGTAAAAATGACCAATTTGACTTTCAAGATTTTAAAAGTGATTCGCCATTATTTTACTTAAATAAACAATAAGAAAATTCAAATAAGCAAAAGAGGGGGAAAAATGACCCAGGATCTCTCAATTCGGAGACAGCCCTGCCAACCTCTTGATGTTTATCCAAGAAAACTGTCTCCATGGTTGCCAGGTTGAGGAGATATGAAAGCAGGCCACCCGGTGAGGACTTTGGACACGGATGTAGCCACCATCTGGGGCCAGTCGTGTGGCCATTGCCCCGCTGGAGGTAGAGGGCTCCACAGGCCACAGGCCCAGCCTCCTGCTGTGCCCGGTTACAAGGGCAGTGCCACCAGCTGTCGCCCTGGAGGAAAGTCCTCTTAATCCCCATCCCCAATGTGGTCAGCATGGCACACGAGTGAGTTTTAAAGAAGACCCTTTATCAGAGGGGAGGCAGGTCAGAAACCCAAGTCGGGCATGTCCGTCTCCTTTGTCCAGTAACCAAAGCCCTTAAAATTCGACTTTCCTCTAAGCTGCAGAAGGAGGCCATGGATTCCAGAAGAACTGGCGGGGATGGCCGCTCTTGGCCCTTGGACCAGCGGTGGCCTGACAGCTCGGTGACAGGGAAGGTGAAATCGCTTTCAGCAGCTGCCTCAAAACTTGATTGATGTGACAAAGTCTTTCCACAAAGCACATAAATCAAAGCAGATGACTGACAGAGGAGTAAACACCTTAGAACTAGAGTAATTAGGAATATATTAGCAATTAAAATAAACTTATTATCATTAGCAAAATTGGCAGCTACTTGCAATTCCCCAGGGGCCTCCTTTCAAGTTTACCCTGGTAGATTATATTAAGGCAAGATTAATGTTTTTGTAGATACAGTTTTCATTTGTCTCAATTATTCCTCAGAGTGCCTGGTGAATGGGAAGACATTTGATAAATATTTGCGGAAGGAAGGAAGGAAAGAAAGAAGGAAGGAAGGAAAGAGGGAAGGAAGGAAGAAAGTAGAAAGGAAGGTGGAAGGAAGGGAGGGAGGGAGGAAGGGAGGAAAGGAAAGAGGGAAGGAAGAGGGAAAGTAAAAAGGAAGATGGAAGGAAGGGAGGGAGAGAGGGAGGGAGGGAGAGAGGGAGGGAGGGAGGGAGGGATTAAACAAGAAATGAACTGAAAGTCTAGAGGTGCCAGTCAACACGGGAGCTTGAGGACTTGCCATGAGGTTGCAATGAAGAGACTACTGAAGGAAAATTAATGGGATACAATGGAATTGTAACCATAGTGCTAACTACTCCTCATAAAAATGTTAAGTTATATATATTGTAGTAACGAAGAGAACAAGAACCAAACAGCTTTCTAGGCCAATGTCCCTGGAGTTAATCCAGCACAGAAGAAGGAGGAAGGTGACTTTGCTCTTCCTGGAAATGCCGAAGGCCCTCTTCCGGACTTCCTGCTCCCGAGTACACGCACAGACACGTGGTGGCAGTTCCCTCAGGAAGCACCACGCATCTTGTTTTATTTCCAGGAGCCAAAGAAGTGAGTCTATTTTGAGTAACGATTTGCATGAACAGACACACACCGGCCTCTTTACACCATCTCAGCCAGTTTGAGGGAAATGAGCTCAGCTTGACGGGGAGTTGTCACGTTGTGTGATTGATTGCCCAATTTCCCTTCCTGTCCCTGGACTGGAGCGACCACAGCTCATCGGTAAGCCTGTCCTTCATGCCTCACGGGTGCTCTGCTGCTGAGAAACACGTGATGTGGGTTGAAGGAGGGCACGGCATAACCAGCCCGGCCTGGCCCGTGACACATGATTACGCAGGTTCCTGTTTTCCCCGATTCATCACCCGGGGCTCCCCTTCGTCTCACCAGGGGGCGGGAACTCCCTGTCCAGACCCTGTTCCTGGAAGGCGCTCTTATCCTAGATTTGGGTGCAAAGGTCCCAAAGACACGGATGTGTCTGGTGCCCAGAGGACGGGGCACCCTTCCAGGGTAACCTGCTCCATCTCCCTAAACAATGGACACCTTTGTGATGATCCCGCTGAAGTCATGAGGCATGGTCCTCTTCCAGGACAGCCACCATCCAGGAGAGAGTGACTCACTGACTCGTGCATTCAATCACCCAGCTAGCAGGTACTGGGCACCTGGTGAGTGTCCAGAATTGTGCTGAGAGCTCGGATCCAGAGATGAAAGACAAACTCCCTTCCTGCCCTTATCTAGCTTTCAGCCTGGAAAACGATGTAGTTTGGATGTCTGTGAAGCCACAAAAGCCTGGATCCACTATCCTACTTATATACTCTCACTGGGCCTCAGTTTCCCTATCTGTAACATGCAGAGGATAACCCTGCCTGGAGCCAAGGGCTGCTGTGAGAATTAATTAGCACCTCAAAGCATTGGGCAGCGTTCTGAGCACATATGCAGAGTGAGAGTGATAGTCCCACTGCTTCAAGTGCGGAGGGACCGATAGAAGACCCCGGCTTCAGAGACGTTACGTTTTGCAGGAAGGATTCAAGGCCCCTGGGACCACTGCAGAGTATAAGAGTGAGGTTGCGAGTTCAAGAGTGAGTTTGTCTGAAGGCGAGGAAGAAGCTCAGGGTCAATACACCAGTCCCCTGGGCTGCCATTGCTCTTGAGAACTTTCTAGAGTCCTAGACTGTCTGCCTGTTTGGACCCCAGACACTGAGGTCCTTTATACTGGACCTCATTTCCTGCCTCCGTCATCTCAGAAACCACCTTCTTATCTGGATCCCCCCCTAGTGCCAGCTTCCTGCCAGAAGCCAGGTTTCAGCCTTGATAAACCCTCACTGTCAACATGCTCAAGTTTACGGTGGGCCATCTCCTAGCACACACACCTGCCAGCGGCTCGGCCACACATGATCGTGTGGAAATGGGTAAGCTTTAGCCCCATCACCTGTCAGATGCCACGCAAAGGCCACGCAATAATGAATCTGTGGATTGGTGAACTGGATCCCCAAAGCCAGAGGTCAGACTCTTCACCCCACACCGCCCTCCTTCCAACACGTGGTGAAATGACGGTGGATATCCCCTCAATTTATAGTTTGAGTGGCTTTGGGCATCTCCTTAGAACACCACTGTAACTCCACTATTCCGGTTCTGTTCCTTTGGCCTGGCATCTAACACCTCCACCACCCTGATTAATTTCTCAGGCTCACTGTCCCAGAAGCCCCCCGCTCTGCAGGCATCTCCACTGCCTCCCTGATCAGTTCCTACCCCACCCCCACCCCTGCTTTGGCTTTCCTGCCGCTCTGACTCCATCCATGTGCTCACCTCCCGCCTGCAAACCCGAATCACGGCCCACCACGAGCCGTGAACACTCAGCAGTGCTCCGTGGACCTTCTCTGAAAATGCAAGCATCACGCACAGATCAAGACGTGACTACGACTGGGCTGAGAGGGGGCTTCTGTTTTCCTCTTTTACATATCGCCTCTTCGTTGTTGCAAATGGGGTCGAGGGTGGTCGTTTTCTAATAATTACACATTAAACGTTTGGGGGGCGTAAGACATCCAGACATCGGAGGGCGAATGAGCATCCCTGGTCCAAAATGGGGGGACCGTGTATGGGGCACCTCGGGAGAGAGGCCTGGGCTCCTGGGAGGTGAGTGCGAGGCCACAGCACGTAACTTCCTACCCTTTACCACTGAGACAGTGGCGCCTAGGGAGAGTTGACAGAGGGGTAAGGGGTGGTGTTTTATTTTTTAATTTATTTTTTAAAATCTTTACTGTTGAAAGTATTACTTATGTCACTCTTCCTGTCCCCTCTCATTGACCTCTTCTAGCCCACCCCTGCCCCCTGTTCCAGGCCTTCATAGCGGGTGGTATTTTTAGAAAAATTTTTAGTAGGAAACTGACTGGTGTTGGGTGTGACTTTAAAGAGACGACAAGGAACCTTCCTACTGAGCCGCTGCTTTTACCAAGTGTCTGTCCTTCATTCCCATTATCTCCTTCAAGCTTCCCAGGGACCCTTGCGGTCATTATCATTATTCATCTTACAACAGGGAGAAACTGAGGCTCAGGAAGCTTAAGGGCACACCGCTAGTATGTGGAGTGGAAGCCAAATCCAGATGGCCTGGCTATGGGAGGTGTGAGAGAGATAAAATGCAAAAAGATGAGAAGGTTGGGGCAGGCCCGGAGGCACGCCCAGCAGGCGGGTCTCACCAGGAACTGAGGGTCCCGGTGGCTCTGGGTGGATCTGGCCAGAGCTCTGAGGAAAGGGGATCGGCCTGTGGCAGGTGGAGGGCGGGGACGGGGAAGAGGCGAGGTTTGGGGTTGGGACAGCCCCGGAGGCCCTCCACCCCGGGTCTCACCGCTCTGCTCCTCCCGCGTTCAGGAAACGCGGCGCCGCCTGGCTCCGCGCGGCCTCCGTAGCGTCCCCGTTGCCATGGTTCCCAGGGCAGCTTTGGACGCGCGGAGCCGCTACCGGGGAGCCTGAGGGGAGTCCGCGGGACTCTGGGTCCCGCATCGGGGCCCACGAACCCGCAGAGGCACCATGGGCCGGAGTAAGCGCCCCTTCCTTTCCCGCCTGTCGCTTTCGATCGTCCCCTTTCCTGGCATTGGCCCGGGGCCACTGGGACCCTCGGCGCCAGCTTCGGACCACGGCTGCCCCTTCCCGCCCGCAGACCAAGCCCAGCTCTGCAAACCCCGCCCCTTCGCCCTGGGCAGACCAGCTGTGCCAGGCCCTCCTCCGCCCGGCTCCGCCTGGCAGCCTGCCTTTGAGGGGCTGGGGTCCTCCTCTGTGAAATGGGGCGGGCGAGGGCGTGGCTGAAAGGCTCAGTGGAAGTGCAGGGTCGGACACACCGGGCCGATGTGTGTATTTTATTGATTTTTATAGAGAGGAAGGGAGAGGGATAGAGGGTTAGAAACATCGATGAGAGAGACAGATCGATGATCAGCTACCTCTGGCACACCCATACTGGTGATGTGCCTAAATGGGTACATGCCCTTGACCGGAATCGAACCTGGGACCCTTGAGTCCGCAGGCCTATGCTCTATCCACTGAGCCACACCGGTTAGGGCATTGGTCGATTTTTGTATGTACCTGATGGTGATGAAACCCACCACCTTTGCTTATGGTGATGATGACCAACTGAGGTGCTCAACCAGGGCTCGGATTAATAATTTTTAACAGGGGTTCTGTCAGAGTCCCCTCGATTTTGGTGTATCCTATGAAGATGACCTGTGTGTTGTCCTTGGTTCGAGCTGTGGACCCTAGGGTCCTGTCTCCAGCCCCTTGGTGCCACCGTCCGGCCAACCTGGTGCTACACATCCCCGCGCAGGAGACTCCTGTCACTCCGCTTCCTCCGAGCGGCTCCTGCCATTCCTCAGAAAACAGACCGTGTGGCAGTTGCTTTATAAAACTGCGATGTGAACTCTGGGGGTCCCTCTCTCCTCTGCAGCTTTCGTTACACTCATGTTGACCAGCGAGTGAATGAATGGCTGCACCCCTCCTCACTGCTGCCTCTGTCGGCCCCGCATGCCTCTCAGGAGCAAGTTGCTCTGCCTTGGTTTACCTCCATCATCTCACCCAGTTTGACCACGAGTTGCCATGTCAACATGCCCACATCCTCACCCATCTACTCTGTCTCCATCCATACTGCAAAATGTGTGCAGCCCAGCTGGCATGGCTCAGTGGTTGAGCATCAATCAATGAACCAGGAGGTCGGATTCCTGGTCTGGGCACGTACTAGAGTTGGGGGTTCGATCCCCAGTGTGCGCATATAGGAGGCAGCCAATCAATGATTCTCTCCCATCATTGATGTTTCTATCTCTCTCACTCTCCCTTCCTCTCTGAAGTCAATTATATATATATATATATATATATAGTATATATTTATATTTATTTATTATATATATTTATATATTTTTTAAATGTGTGTAAACCCTGCTCAAAAGAGACAAAACTATGTTGTCATGTCCCTTCCCTCTGACCCATGATGGGCCAGAACCTCCAGCAGGGGGCAGCACTGCTCCAAGCTCTTTGATTGAACTGCAAGGAGAGACCCATGTGGCAGTCATGTCATAACCCATGATGAACACGAGGGCAGATGTGTGACCTGTGACAAATGTCCTTGCAGTCACAGAAGACCTCATCCGACGGAATGCCGAGCACAACGAGTGTGTGATTTTCTCCCTGGAGGAGCTCTCCTTGCATCAGCAGGAAATAGAAAGGCTGGAGCACATTGACAAATGGTGCCGAGACTTAAAGATCCTCTACCTTCAAAACAACCTCATCGGGAAGATCGGTAAGTTTCCGGGACTTGATTCTCCTGGTTTCTTGAGCCCCTGGAGTGGGATGGGAGAACTGTGGATGAGACAGTGCTACCCTTAGGAGGAAGGCAGCAGCTAAGAAAGGATTTCATGGGGGAACGGACACAGCGGTCACGAGTGGTGTAAGGGCGGCGTGAAAGCATGCTCGGAGCCTGTGCTGACCGAGCAGGTCACACCTGCTGCCAGGGTTCGTACTGTCACGTACCCAGGGCGCCCTGGCCAGCGCAGGAAGGTTGGAGCAGAAGGGAGGACCAGTCAGAGCTGGAGGGCAAAGGGTGGAGTCGGGGTTAATAAGGCAGAGTGAGCAACAACACCTGTGGGGCTAGCCTGGAGCCAGAGGTCAGCCCTTAGGTTAGGTTTTCACTCTTCGCGGCGATGTGCGAGTGCCTCCACCAGGGCGTTGGGCCAAGGCTGCAGACGTTTGTGGTTGTCACCAGTGTGCGTGGGTGTTGGGGGTGTTCAGGGCCCAGGGACGCTACTCACCTTCCCAGAGTGGCAGCCTCACAGGAGAAGTTCCCAGGCGTGTGTGTGTGTGTGTGTGTGTGTGTGTGTGTGTGTACACTCAGGGCCAGAGAACTGGGGTGTGCTTGCCTCTGGTTGGCTGGGTAATTCCCAGTTGGCTCTCAATGTGCAAAGACCTAGGATTTGCATCATCTTTTTGACGCTGTATTAGAATTCTTTCTATTTCTTCAGAATGTGATTTCCAGCATCTTTGACTTTTCCAGAAACGGGAAACTTAGCCCGCTGCCCAATGAAGAGGCTGTTCTGACAGCCAGCAGCTCTCACGCATGCGGCATTGAAGGGCCCTCCTGATCGGCAGTTCTGACAGAGGCCCCGCATTGCCATCTGCACAGCTGGCTCCTCACAATGGCGGACGAGAGCATAGATTTCAGTCCTTTTCAGAGCTGCGAGAAGGCTTACATTTTCGGCTTCCGAAGTAGTCTGAAATGAAACAGCCTTTTGCATGTTGATGATGGGGGTTTTCGGAGGCAGTCAGGCACGCCTTCAGCTGGGAAAAGGACCTCTCTTGGATTCTGCTTGCTCGTGTGCCTTGGGGATGGGAGTTCGTCTGAGCTCCTGAGCTCTGTCCCTCACTGGAGATGCAGTTGGGAAGGCTCTGCTTTGTTGTCGGTCCAGCTGTGAGCTGAGGGATCCTGTTAAAATGGGGCCCAGAATCTGGGGGGAGGGCTCCCAGAATCTGCGTTTGTAATGACTTTCCCATGAGCCTCAGGCCTGGGCCCCGTTGGGAGTCCAGAGCTGCTTGAATTGGGGTGGGATGGGGCTGGTTATGGCGGCTGGTGGCAGCTTCCTCCAGGATGGCTTGGGCGAGGATGCTCAGACCCCTCCCTGCCACCCTGGAGGCTCTAGGCACTTTTACTTATGAGCCTCTATCTCTCTGACCCCCTTGCCCATTGGTCCCGAAGGCCTTGGGCACATCCTTCCCTAACACATCTGACCTACGTGTTTTCTGCCAGATGATGCTTTTAGTATTGAAGAGGTAATGCATCTAACACGTGTGGGAAGGAGGAGGTATTTGGTTGCGGGCTGGCAAATTCATGTGTTAACTTCAGGTGCTTCTGTTTGGGATGCAGAGTAGACACTCTTATCTGTCAAAACCCTCATCACGTGGCGCTCTGCATGTCCTTTGAGTCTCAAATGCTCAGGCATCGGTACGGTTTAGGGTAACGGAACTGCTGAGAGCACTTGAGTAATTTTTCCTGAAGTTCTCATATTTAAAAACGAGTCGACTGCAGAGGTGGAAACTGTTATCCTTGGGTCTATGATCACATAGATGATATTTCATAAATTTTAAAATGAAATGGGATGATAAGGGTGATAGTTATAAGTCATCATATTTGATCTTTTCCTGCCCCTGAAACACTCGGAGGAAGCAGTCCCTAAGCGGGGCTGCCCAGTCACACCCTCCTCCGTGGGGGACTGGCATTCGTGGGGTCTGAGAAAGAACTGTTCTCTCAAGGCGCAGGGAGCGCAGTGACTCACCGCCAAGCTCTGGGGAAGGATTTCCTGGCTCCGCCTCCTGACTCCAGACACGTGGATGAGGCTTCACCCCTGGGTATTCTCCTTTAAAAACAGGGTTTTCACCTCGCAGAGTTATTTTGAGGATCAGCGACATCATGTATGCAGCATGCTCAGAAAATCACGAGGCGTGTGATAAGCACTCAGCAGTGCTAGCCAAGGTGTTGTTAGCTGCTTTCCAAGGCCATTGACTTCTGGACTTACTCATGGTGGTTGCTTTGCCTACATAGGCTTTCTTTCCTTCCTTTAAAATACATTTTTATTGGTTTAAGAGAAGGGAGGAAAGGGAGAGAGAGATAGAAACATGAAAGAGAGAATACGTGATCAGCCACCGCTTGCATGCCTCCTACTGGGGAGCAGCCCTGCAGCCCAGGCACATGCCCTGCCCAGGAATTGAACTGTGACCTCCTGGTTCACAGGTTGACTCTCAGTCCCTGAGTCCACACAGGCCGGGCTACGTCGTCTTTCTTGTTTATTAAATACAACGGTCCTGTATCAGAGGGACTTGGGCTCCAAGTAAAGGAAGACCCAACTCCATCAGGCTTCCAGTAAGGAACCCTAGTGTGGGACCCAGCCATGCGTCTAGAGATAGGCAGGCTCCACCTCTTGGTTGGTTGATTCCTTCTCTGCCCCAGCAGCCACCGTGGGCTTCATCCAGGACCTGGTCCCCTTCTGTTCGCAAGCTGACTTGAGTATCAATAGGGGATCACACCTCTTCCTTTGTAAACATCCAGCAGAAAAAGAGAAAGGAACTCCCCAAGCATGGAATACAGAGCTTCCCTTTTCATCTGGCCCGTACGAAGCTCTTGGCCTGGGTGCTCTCCCCCGCATCACACCGTTGCCAGGAGACTGCCATAGGCTGGTTGACTTATTCCTGGAACCCTTAGCTGTTACTAGCATGGGACATGGGGTTGCCATGCACTGGCCCTGTTAGGCTAAGTAGGCCTAACCCCCGGAGTCAGGGCCAGGCAGAGATGTGAGCAGAGCTGGCTTCCAGGAGAAAGGATGGAGGGAGAAACAGATGCTACTTGACAACCCACAGGCTGTGGGGGACAGGTGTGGATTTGAAAGACCAGCATGGTTTTGATAGCTATAATAATTATTAGATTATCTTTACTGTCCTCACAATAGATGATACAAATTTGATCTTGAAGGTTAATTACCTTTGTGTATTTCAGAAAATGTCAGCAAACTCAAGAAACTCGAATATTTGAATTTAGCTTTAAACAACATTGAAAAAATTGAAAATCTGGAAGGTAAGAATTTCTTCTTATTTTTGCGAATTAAAATGGGGATTTAAGATTTGATTTAAACAGTATTGCTTAAACAATATATCCTCCCATTTTGGGGAGCTTCTTGTCAACTTTCTTGATGGTGTCTTTTAGAGCCGTGGTCGGCAAACTGTGGCTCTTTGGCCCCTTGAGTCTTTAGCGAAGGCCAGCTTAGGAGTCCCCTAATTAAATTAATAACAATGGACCTACCTATACAGTTTAAGTTTAAAAATTTGGCTCTCAAAAGAAATTTCAATCATTGTCCTCTTGATATTTGGCTCTGTTGACTAATGAGTGTGCCAACCATTGCTTTAGAGCACAATTCTTTTTAACTAATAGCTTTATTGAGGTAAAAATCGACCTATAAAAGCCTGCACATGTTTAAAGCATACAATTTGTATGTACACATGTGTGAGCCCATCACCATAATCAAAGGTAATAGACATACCCATCACCTCTGTATTATCTGATCTCCCCTCAAACTTCTTTTAAATATATTTTGGTGGCGCTAGATTGGTCCTCCATGCTTTTAACCCGCATTCCTCATTTAACCCGCCTTGCCTTGCTCTGCAGAGAAAGGTTCCCTGTGTTACTCTGCGGCTTCTCTTTTGCAGTTATGATTATTATTTTTGTCCTAAGTGTCTGTTAGTCTGAAAGGATTTGGTTGACTTGGTGGCCAGCAGGGCTCCTCTGTTCTTGTGAGGCTGGGATCCCAGGTGCAGCCTCTGGCCTGGCCGGCGGGGCTGCTGGGGGCTGTGGGAGCGGGCAGAGGCGGGCACAGCGGCAGACACGCCCACTCCCATCTGCCAGGAGCTCACATTAGGAGGGTTTTACTCAGGTGATGGTCAAGTTTAGCCTCTTCACCTCCTGGTGCACAAAACTGACATTCATCCTGCACTTAAGACTTTCATCCTCAAAGCCTAGACTGTCATCACTACCAGACCCACGGCTATTTCAGAGCTGGCACTGAGATGGTCCTTCCCGCATTTTCCTGCGGTAGAAACAGAGTCATTGCTCTCCCAGCTACCACTGTGCAGCCCTGTCACCGTGTTCCCCTGAAAGCAAAAGTCATGGCACATTAATCAGGGTCCAGGTTTTGTGAAATATCAGTCTAAGTTTTTCAGAGGACTCGTAAAAACTCTCACTCTCGGCTGGCGTGGCCATGGCTTGTGATTTTTCGGAAAGCATCTGAAAGGACATGGACAAATCTGGTTGCCGCATGGCGTGGCCATCCACCACTGGAGGGCAGCATCGTCACTGTTGTCTTCGGGGCTTCGGGAACTGGGTCCACCTGGGGCCTGTTACCTGGATGCTCTTCCTGCGATGCCTCCCTCCCTGCTCTGATAGGGATGCCCTGGGCCAGGACGGTTTGAGGATATGTATGGAGGGATGGGCGGCTTGTCTGCTGGCAAATAGGCACTTTTTATTTAATTTTAAAGATGAGAGAGAGAAAGAGAGAGGAGGAAGATGAGTATACACATTCAGCCCACCCACTTGAGTAAATCTCAATATAATTTTAAACATAAGTTGCATTTCTGTTTGTTTTGCTGGACTGGAAAGAATAGCTAGCATCCTTTTTTCCCTTTTCCCTGTTGTGGGATCCCTGCAGTAGAGTAAAGTGCCTTCTTTTCCCATCCCTCCTTCTCACCCACCCTAACCGGGAAGTGCGGATCCTGACAGCCTGAGCTTTCCCCCTTGGGCAGTCAGTGTGGTTGATTTCAATGACCTTCACACACACACACACACCCCGGGATGATTGAGCTGGGTCATTGCGGAGACGGAGGCCAGGGTGGGACTCGGTGAAGGAAAGGAGCGCTAACTCCCACGAGGAGGCATGCTTAAGCCTGGCTCGCTCAGTGGGAATTATTCTGTAAGATGGCCAGTGTGGTTGGATTTCTAATGTGCGGCTGAGTAGAAGGAAAATTAAGAATCCACCACTCTGCCGAAACCAGTTTGGCTCAGTGGGTAAAGTGTCAGCCTGTGGACTGAAGAGTCCCAGGTCCGATTCCAGTCAAGGGCACATACATTGGTTGTGGGCACATCCCCAGTGGGAGGTGTGCAGGGTGCAGCTGATTGATATTTCTCTCTCGTCGATGTCTCTAATTCTCTATCCCTCTCTCTTCCTCTCTGCAAAAAATCAATAGAATATATATATATAATTTTTTTTTAAGAATCCACCACTCTGAAAAATATGATGAACATTTGGAGGGTCCTTCACATGCAACATTACAGCAAAACCCAAAAATATACGAATTCTTAAACCCGATGGAGTCTTTCGAATGTCAGGCTGCTCTTCCATGAAAGAGAAACAGCATTGAAATGGCTCCCAGAATCTGTCAGAGTAACTGGGAAAGACCCGGGAGCCTGGGTCTTAAGTTAGATTGCCCCAAATATATCTTCCGCACTTCATCAGCACCATCTGACATCTCTTCCCAGCGCAGAACAAACACGCAGACGTGGAGACGTAGCCTTAATCGTATTTATAGACACATGCGGTTTCGTGTTAACTTTTCATACAACTGGCCAAGGCCACAGTTTTATAATTTAATGACCGAATTTTCAAGCACATTGTTGGGTTTCAAACAATCCTCATTGTGTGGTGCCTGCAGTGTTTTTTAATGATGTCTGCCATTGTGAAAGAGCTGTGCTGATCAGCTTTGTACAATCACCTGTCCTCAGTTGATGTATCCAAATGAAATTTTGGACCCAGGGGAAAACATTTAAAACCCTGTATTATGTCTTGTCCGATTGAATGCTGGAAAGTATAATTATAGTCTTATAAGCTTAACAATCTTATGTAGAATTTTGTCTCTATTGTTGCAAGTTTAATAGAAATAGCAGCTTTCTTTTCCTTTTTCATATATAGGATTGTCTTTGAAGATGTGAAGTCATGAATTGCCATCACCTATGTAGTAGAATCTATAATATATGAGTGTTTATTTGTTCCTTGTACATGTTTTTGTTTTTAATCCTCACCGAGGATATATTTTAGAGAGAGTGAGAGAGGGAAAGACAAAGAGAAACAGCGAGATAAGAGAAATACATCGATTGGTTGCCTCCTGTACATGCCCAGACCATGCCCAGGCTGGGAGGAGCCTGCAACCCAGGTACATGCCCTTGACAGGAATCGAACCTGGAATCTTTCGCTCGTTGGGTCCGCAAGCCGACACTCTATCCACTGAGCCAAACCAGCTAGGGCTGTTCTTCTGCATTTTGGATAGTCATCTTTTTACTGATTCATATGTTTACTGTGGTAATAAACTCACAGTTTAAAATCTCAAAGCTCACTCCATACCTTTGTTGGAAAACGTGGGTCTTTATTTGGTGCTCAGACCCCTAAGCCCTGCTGCGAGGGGTGACCAGCCTCGACTCCCCTCTGCTCTGGGACGTTTCCAGACAGTGTGCTCGGCCTGTGCTTGTTCTGCCCCCCTCGATGCTCTCATTGGGGGCCTCACCCTGTGACGTCCTGAGGAGGAAGCTGCAGGCTTCACTCTCATCCCACCCCCAGGTTCTCTGTCCCTTCTCCCCACCCTGCTTCTATCTTCTCTCACCTGTGGGATATCGAAATGAGGCCTGGGCTACGGTGACTGGGGTTCTGAATCATTTCATACCATCTTCCCAACAACCTGGGTACCTATGTCCTTCTGGTTCTACACATGGGAGAGACAAGGCTGGTACCTTCCCGGGGCCACGGCGCCGGGCTGGGAGGGGTGGGATTTGGTCAGCGGTGCCATTCACCAGCGGACCTGCACGCACTGAGGCCACTGCTGCGTCTGTGAACCATGGCCGGCAGCTCAGGGGGACAGCTCCCACGTTTTATGACCAACGCGATCTATTTCTTTGCTTTCCTTTCTCCCGCCAGGATGCGAGGGGCTGACAAAACTTGACCTGACCGTAAACTTCATCGGGGAGCTGAGCAGCGTGGAGACCCTGCGAGGCAACGTCCACCTGAGGGAGCTCTTCCTCATGGGCAACCCATGCGCAGACTTCCAGGGCTACCGGCCGTTCGTGGTGGCCACGCTCCGGCAGCTGAAGGTGCGCTCGCTCCAGGACGCAGAAATCTCGGTGAAAATGCCAACAGGCAACCACTGCTCTCCCGATGCAGAGGATGAAACATTCCAGAAAATCAAAACCAACTCCTTGGCGTCCTGAGCCTGTAAAAGCGTTTGGCTGAGGTTTCTGGGCTAGCAGAACTGTTTACTAAAACTGAAAAATAGGCTGGTTAATGCAAGGATCTTTTTTTTTTTTTTAAAATGTGTTTTTACTGATTTGAGAGAGAGAGGAAGGGAGATGGAGAGAGAGATAGAAACATCAAAGAGAGACAAACATCGATCAGCTGCCTCCTGCACGCCCCCTACTGGGGATCCACTTTGAAAGCCGGGCATGTACCCTAACTGGGAATCCAACCGTGACTTCCTGGTTCATAGGTCAACGCTCAACCCCTGAGCCAAGCCTGCTAGGCAACTTGAGGATCTTAATCACCATTTATCTCGCTGAAGGGGTGATCTACTTGAGAGGAATGTTGTTGGTCGTATAAAATCAACATCGACACAGATCAGAGTTTCTGATGTTCCCCATGGCACCGGGTTATTGCTTATTGTGCACAGTTTATTGTCTCTAAGTTTAAAATATTCCATCACAGACAGCTGGGGCCGATTCGGATCGCGGCTCTGGGCTAATGGCTGTTTTTTATTCCAGTGGCTGGACGGGAGAGAAATAGAGCGTTCGGAAAGGATCCAGGCATTGCAGGACTTCCCCGAAGTTGAGCGACAAATCAGAGAGCAGGAGAAAGCCTACTGCCTCAGACGAGCCCAAGATAAGAGCGAGGCTGAGAGGAAGCTTCGAGAAGAGCAGGAGCCCGCAGAGAACGAGAGCCACCCGTATGTAAATCACTAGAGTTCAGCTTCCCGCTAACTCTTGCTAAAAGCCGCCCCCCCTGTTCTCTCCCCACGCAGCCCGAAGCATCACCTGCGTCCCAGACGGTCCGTGAGAAGAGGGATTCACTCCTCTGCAGGCTCTGGCAGCCACTGCTGTACGCAGAGGCGCTGGCTCTGTCTCCGGGAACCAGCCAGTGGGCTCACACATAGAAAGCCAATGACCGGTGTGACGGCCTCATTTTCACAGGCAGCGTCTGCCCTCCTCTCCCTGACCCTCCCCCAGGGCTAAGGCTCAGTGGGCCCTGAGGTCGTCTGATTATCAGAGCCTCCTGCCAAATATTATAAAAGACAGATTGCTGGGCCTCACCCCAAAAGCTGCTGAGTTAGACTCTCTTGCAGGAGCCCAGGAATGGGTCCTGTTGATAAACCCCCCTGGTGGCTCCCGTCAGCTGGTGCGTGCTCCCTGGAATCTGATTACTGCCATCGTCCTCCGGTGCCAGCCGCCAGCCCAGCGGGCCCGCCCCAGTGCTGGACCGGCGATTCCTCCAGCGGGGCTCAGATAAGCTCTCTTTCGGACAGGTTCTGTCAAGAAGATACACGAGAAAATGGCCGGGACCGGTTTGGCTCAGTGGATAGAGCGTCGGCCTGCGGACTGAAGGGTCCCGGGTTCGATTCCGGTCAAGGGCATGTACCTTGGTTGCGGGCACATCCCCGGTGGGGGGTGTGCAGGAGGCAGCTGGTCGATGTTTCTCTCTCATCGACGTTTCTAGCTCTCTGTCCCTTTCAATTCCTCTCTGTGTAAAATCAATAAAAATATATTTAAAAAAAAAAAAGAGAAGATACACGAGAAAATGAATGAAGTATGAAAGGAGCAGCGTTAGGGATGAAACTCACACGTCCATCTTCGGTCTCACGTGCTCTGGGTCTCTCTGTCCTCTCCTAGCCCACCTTCTGGAGGGAGCGGAGACCAGCTCCAGATACCGGAACGACAGGAAGGAGAACCCAACGGAAAGAAAGTAGACGACGTGGAAGACGACCTGGAGTTCTGGAACAAGCCCTCTCTGTTTACTCCGGAGTCGAGATTGGAAACTCTGAGACATATGGAGAAACAACGACGAGACAAAGAAAAATCAAGGTATTCCATTTCTCCCATCGTTGAAAGTAAGGAAACACTCTCCTACAGACTTACCTATTGATTTCAGAGAGGAAGAGAGAGAGAAACATCAATGATAAGAATCATTGATCGGCTACCTCCTGCATGCCCCCCTTCTGGGGATCAAGCCTGCAACCTGGGCATGTTGTGCCCTTGACTGGAATCAAACCTGGGATCCTTCAATCTGCAGGCCGACGCTCTATCCACTGAGCCAATCCAGCTAGGGCCATCATCAATACTTTTCTGTCCCTTTTTGCATCAGTAGGTAAAAAACAAGCACATTTTTTCACAGCTACAGAATACCTTATGACTATGCCACACTGACCCAATCCCTCCCCCATGTGGGCATTGGGGATAGGCCCAGGGTGTGGTCACGGCAGACACTGCTGTGATTAGACCGTTTACATAGGTCCTTATGTGCTGGCATTTTTATTTCTATAAAAGGGATTCTATGTGGCATTTTAAAAATTGTCATTTTAACGAGAGCAGAAGCTGCGTACACAAATGGAGAATTGACAGTGATCTGGGTAAATCATGCATAAAATTGACTTATTTAAATATTCATGGGTATTGCACAAAAAGGATTTTCCCCCCATTAAATTACCTGGCAAATTGTCTTGCCCACATTTTCGCTTAACAGACATAGATACAACCAACTTGTACAGAAGCCTGGCTTTGAGGTCCATTTCCAGCACAGAATGGACTTCCTAGCAGTCAAATGGGGATGTTTTCACACATATCTGATTCCTTTCTCTTACGCTGTTCCTCAGATCAGTAACTGGTTTATTTTCCTCCTCCCCTCTGCCCCTGTTCCACCCACCCCCAACCTTAAGCGAAAAGAAGGTGAAACCACCCAGGATGCTGATCACTGCAGATGGGAGAGCCCTGAACGTGAATGAGCCCAAGTACGTGAGCCCACGCGGAGACGAAGCTGCCGAATGGGTGGTGTCGGTCACTCCCATGACAGGTTTGCTCTGCAGAGAATACACCTGACCTCCTGACCCCTCTCCACCAGCCCAATGACGCTCACAAGAACCACACGTGTGTGTGCACTTTCCAAAGCAAAACATCCATCATGTTCTTGGGTGCATAATGTTACATTTTTATTTCCTTGGCATCCAGAAAATGATCTTTGACATATGGAAATCCTAGTTGTTCATGTCTCCCTCGAAACTTGGGACATCTACAATTTTATATCTGAAAATTGCCAGTGCCTCGTTCTTGTGTGTATTAATTTTTTAAGTTCTGCCATGAACATGCCGCTGGCTGAGAATATTGATATGTCTCCAACCCATCTACTTTATTCCCTGGAACACATCCTCAAAGCATTTGAGAGCTAGGGGAAAATGGATATAATAAATATCTCCATGAAGTTATTGAGAGAGGAAAAACATTCACACTGGAAATCCTTAAGTGTAATAATATCTGATCTACCCTCTGTAATCCAATTCATCCTCTCCCCTCCCTAGACTCGCCCCCTCCTCTCCCCAATCCACTGTGCCCTCTGGAGCTTATTCTGTGTCAACAAAACCTGGACAATTGGTTCCTCTCTTGTCCTCCTATAATCTCTTCTACTAAGCTGAACAAAGAAAGGGGAAGGACACACACCTCTTTAGGAAAATTTTCAGGAAGCGCCATAGAACACTTTCTTTCCCAGAACTAAGTCACATGACCTCATCGAGCTGCAAGGGCGGCTGGAAAAGGTGGTCTTTATTCTGCAGAGAGCTGTTCCTAGGTAAAATCAACGGTGCTGTTTCTAGTGAGAAAGGGGAAGCAGATCCTGGGGAATGAACACAGTGTCTGCTATGGGGAACCTCTGAAATGATCTTCCAAGTGCTGTGTGAAGGGAGAGTTTGGGTCGGCTGGCTGGAACGTCAGGGAATAGCAACTAAGGCAGAGGGGCCAGCACATTAAAAAAAAAAAAGCTCCCAAAATGAGATTTTAAAAATGCATAGGCCAATTGAGTAACTGAAATACAGCTGGACTGTTGGAATTAAGGAGTGGCTGCTACAAGCAGACATACTGCTGACAGCCAGATCTGTGGCTAAGGTTACGTTTTCCAAACATTGAGTTGATATTCTTTACCGGGTTATGTATTTTACAGAATAATGCGGTAAGTGAAATGCTGGAAAGAAAATGGACCAAGTAACTCTGACAGAGTGATTCTGCACAGCATGGGAGTCACACTGAGGGCTTGGTTTGGCCTCAGTGTAGCTGAGAGACCCAAGGGCTTTATAAAAGATCCTGCCTCCCTGGACTCGTGGCCTCTTTCCCAGCGGGGTCAGCTCCTCTGAGCCTCTGTTTCCTCCTCTGTGAAACGGAGGGGATCAAGGGCTGGCCCAGGCGGTGTGGCTCCCTGGTTAAGGGTCAACCTATGAACCAGGAGGTCACAGTGCCATTCCCGGTCAGGGCATATGCCTGGGTTGCAGCTTGATCCCCAGTAGAAGGTGTGTGGGAGGCAGTCGATCAATGATTTTCTCTCATCATTGATGATTCTATCTCTCCCTCTCCCTTCCCCTCTTTCTAAAATCAATAAAAAATATATGTTTTTAGAAAAATAAAATAAAATCATGGTCAGTGTCTCACCATTTCCCAAGACGATGGGAAAGTCACCGGTGAAGGGAGAAGAAAAAGGATGGCCGGGGAAAAGGAGATGAGACCGATTAAAACGGAAGGACTAGCATGCATGTTGGATAATGCAGCATTCAGTTCTCCATGAGTATTTCCGGTGTGTGAGTTTGCTCCTAGCTAACTCCAATAGAATGGAAAAGCAAACTTTAACCACCAGATGTCTCTGTCCCTGCACCAATGCTCACTTTTGTATGTAATTCACTTTGAGATCTGCACATTTAAACAATGTAAACAAACAAACAAATTATGAACACATTACAGGTGTCTGTTGAAATTTTTAAATCAATGTAGACATTGTTCAGCTACCAAAATAAGTGTGTCATTGGAAATTATAACAATTATGAAATTTGGTAATGGGACAAAGCTATCTATAAAGTATTGCTAAAGACGTCATCTTTTTTTTTTTCTTTCTTTCTTTCTTTCTTCTTTTCCCCCCAAAATGGATTATTCCTCAGACTTGACTTCTCTTTGAAAGATGATGAGAAACGCAACCAGATCATCCTGGACCTGGCTGTGTACAGGTAAAGACATTTTATTGTGCATTTATTTGGTGGCACTTCTAGCTGTTTTCATGCTCAGTTGCAATCTCTTGAGTTGTGAAACGTTTTGAAATGAAACTTGGTTTGATAAAAATAGTATGCACTCCCTCCCAGCACTTCTTTCTGCCCCTCCCCACGCCCCGCCCCCCACTTTTTTATTTCTACCTGACAAACTATAAATTTACTTGTATTTTTAAAGGCAAGAACTTTGTTTTGTTGGTTTGTTTCCCCCTTCTTATGTCTCCAGCACCTAAAACAGTACCGGGTACCTGGTGGGAATTCAATAAGTACAGGAAGGAAGGAAGGAATGGATAATAATGATGGGAGTATAACATTTGTACACGTGAATTAGAATAAAGGTCTTCTCTTTTTCAAGGCTTTTCGTACGTGCTCTATTTTATTCGGTCTCTCATAAACTGGTGAACTAGGGGGGCTTGTTATCCTGGAATCATCCAGGAGGGGGTTACATTTTCAGAGAGTGAGGGAAAGCCAGCGATCTGAGCACTGAAAACCCAGGGATGAGAAGCGATGAGGTCGGCATACAACGGGCAGGAGGGTGTTTGAGGCAGAGAAAAGCAGCGCATGCCAAGATCTCGCCAGTCGGGCCAGGTGGACACACCTTCAGCGGCCCTAAGGAGGAGAAAGAAGATGCCACCCATTTATGTGGCAGATACTGAACCTGGAGTTTTAGGAAACCTGACTCTACCTTTTAGTTCCAGGATTTTATAAGAATGATGTTTTATAAACACTATGTACTAGGCAACAGGCATGCATCTTCATAGCTATCTCAGGGAGTAGGCACTATGTTTATCTTGATTTTCCAGATGAGGAGGCTGAGGCTTAGAGAGGTGAAGGAACGTGGTCCAAGGTACTGAAGCAGGAAGTCCTCCCTCACAGGTGTGTGTGACTGAAGCCCATGCCTGCAACCCCGAGGCTCCCCGCTGCCTGAATGTGTCTGATTTTTGAATCACCACTGGATTTTCTACTATTCACAACCTCTGTTTTAAAATATGTATGCAGCCTGGCCGGCGTAGCTCAGTGGTTGAGTGTTAACCTATAAACCAGAAGGTTCCGATTCCCAGTAAGAACACATGCGGGCTTGGTCCCCAGTAGGGGGTGTGCAGGAGGCAGCAGATCAGTGATTCTCATCATTGATATTTCCCTCCCTTCCTCTCTGAAAAAAAAGTACATGTACACTGAGTGACCAGATTATTATGATCTCTGAATGCATAATAATCTGGCCACTCAGAATGTGTGTGTGTGTGTGTGTGCATGCTGGTCGAACTCCTGGTTGAGGGGATACTTTGCATATTAGCCTTTTATTATATAGGATATACACGGAGTGGCCAGATTACTGTGTGTCCAGAGATCATAATAATCTGACCACTCAGTGTATATTTAGAAACAACGTTTAAATATAGCGTTTGGCTAAAAGAGAGAGGTTAAATCTACATCTTTCATTTGCTCAGAAAGTCAAGGAGAATAATTGCCACCGGATCCCGGGGTCACTGCCACAGACTTTGCTCACTCAGCAGGCCACGCCTTCCAGGGCAGCAGAGCCCATGGGGAGATGCTATCGGGCAGCTGCAGGGCAGCGCCAGGGATGCAGAGCAGCTAAGGAAGCAGGGCTGGGGTTGCAGGCCCCAAGCAGAGTGCAGTCAGCATTCCTGGCTATTCATGTCAGTCTTAGAGGCTTAGGATAAAATATTCATGAAAGACCATGGCAAGCTGGGTTTTGCAAGCCTCTGATGTTTCAGACCTCTGATATTTTTGGGTTAGGGGCAGTCAATGCCAAGTGTACTCGTGAGTCTAGAAACGAAATTGCTGATACATTGCATTTCCTTTGGCCTGAGGATTAACTCAAAGCTAAATTTTTAAGGCCTATTTAGCACGGACATTTTAAACTCTCTCTGTGGGAAGTTCTGGAGAAGGCCGCACACAAATGAAAGAGACTAGAAAAGTATTAATTTGGGAATATTGGGGGCCAGGCAGGAGCCCACCTCTAGGGGCAGGACTATACCCCGCTCTGGCTTTGCTATCCCGTTATTAAGGTTATGGGATACACCCATAGCCTTTAGGCAGGAAATTCCAATAATAGCCAATCAGCGAGGATTTACATAAGACTAACAGGTGGAGGCTGCTTCAGCTCCCAATGTCTCAATTAAACCAAGAGCGATTAGCTCCAACCTTTCAGAGCAATTAAGATTGACCAACCACCGAAACTGGTTTGGCTCAGTGGATAGAGCAACAGCCTGTAGACTGAAAGGTCCCAGGTTTGATTCCGGTCAAGGCCATGTACCTTGGTTGCAGGCACATTCCCAGTGGGTGGTGTACAGGAGGTAGCTGATTGATATTTCTCTCTCATTGATGTTTCTAACTCTCTATCCCTCTCTCTTCCTCTGTAAAAAAATCAATAAAATATATATTTTTTTAAAAATTGACCAGCCTTTCAGATTCCCTGTCCACATCTTTCTATTAGTGGGACAATGATTGGTTTCCGGCATCTCTCCATTTTAAGGGTCCCCTAAGTGTGGGTTTGTATTTTTAAATTTGTTTGCAAACTTAATGTTCTTGGAAACTCACAAGACTGAGTGTGTTTCATGTGTTGAATTTTCAAGGTACATGGATACCTCTCTGATCAATGTTGACGTGCAGCCAACTTACGTGCGAGTCACCGTCAAAGGAAAGGTAAGGATGCCCTATGTTCTGGCTTCGTCTTCAAAGCCAAGCCTTGGACTAAGCTAGTTGCATGAACATTTTTTTTTTTAAGTAATATTAAAATGGAAAAAGAGAAAGCCAATCAGAGAGCTGTTTCTTAGGCACGTGATTCTGCCAGGGCAGGGTTAATCAGCAGGAATGTTTGCTGACCACTGTGTGGCTGGATAAATTAATATGTTTATCCTGTGTCTGTTGCATGGGTACTTTGTCCAAGGCTGACTTTTATATATGTCATAGGCTATGGCTTGAAATCATATTTAAATAATATGCCAATTTTAAATTTAAATTGCCAATGCTTTCCATTCATAGTAAATGTAGTGTCATCATTTTAGAAAGAGCAGTCTGCTAATTCTGATCATTCATATGAGGTCTCTTGAAGACTTTAAAATGGAAACACGCTCATGTCTTATGACAGTGATTTTTATCCACAAATTCTGTTATCGGCCAAGTTAGAAAAAAATGGACCGATGAGTGTTTCATTTGATTTTGATGGATGGTTATTCTTTAGACCAGTGTTTCCCAAAGTGTGGTACTCATATCCCCAGGGGTACGGGAAGAGTTTGGTGGGGGTACGCGTTGCACTGGAGTTTGGTGGGGATATGCACTGCACCGTGCTTAGCTGCGCCTAATTCTACATTCTCATGAGTACGAGAGGTACTCAGTGTTACAAAAATTATAGAAGGGGTACACATATGTCAAAAGTTTGGGAAACACTGCTTTAGACGGACTATTCATTAAAATAGGTAAAAAAAAAAGATCATGCATGTCAAGCATAGCCCATGCATTAGTGTTTTTCTAGTAAATCTAAGCTCATCTTTAGAAATTGAATGTTGAGTCTTAAACTTGTAACGAAAAGTACCTCCTCCACAACTTCTCTCTCACGTCAGATGCACTTGCTCCCTGACACTCGGTATTCCCTTTCAGCCCTTTCAGCTTGTCCTTCCGGCAGAGGTCAAACCTGACAGCAGCTCTGCTAAAAGGTCTCAGACGACAGGGCACCTGGTGGTCTGCATGCCCAAGGTAGGGGACGGCATTGGGGTCCACTTTACGTCTGGGTATGTTGGTTCCCACAGATACTTGTCCCAGCAGGGCTGATGAGGACTTCTGATCCAGGTTCTTCTGGTTGAGAAAGCCCAAAAGTCTACTCCCACCAGCTCAGGCTGGAGAACGAAGACCTGGGAGAAGAGAGAGCCCGGCCAGGGTGACTGGTCCTGCCAGGAGTTCTTGTCTCTGAGACCAGTTCTTGCCTCTGCAGACCAGAGCGTGGGTGGGAGTTGGCCTTTGTCAATCACATGGCTCTTGGATAAGGTGACCAGATGTCCCGCTTTTGGCGGGACAGTCCCGATTTTTAACAATTTGTGCCTCGTCCCTCTGTGTTTTAAAGAAGTCCCGATTTTTGGGAAAAAAATCGGGACTTTTTTAAAACGCCACAGGACAAATTATTAAAAATTGGGATGTCTGGTCACCTTACTGGAACATGTGTGTTACCTGGTGGTCAGCACTTCCCTTACCTGTAACCATGAGAGGAGACACTGTCAGCCTTGGTATGTGTTTGGATTCCAAGCATTGAGCTTACCAGGTTTGTGATTTTGGGCAAATTATAAATCTCTCTAGGCCTCTCTGTCCTAATGAATGCTTAAGAAAGAGGATACACACAGCATTCATGTATAGTGAGCACTCCATAAATACGGCTAGTGTTATTTTTCATATCATGTTTATGATAGAGACAAGATATTATTTTAACTAAAACTCTTTTTTGCCTTCTCTTTGTGGGGAGAGGTGGCGTAGATGTGCTTTTGCTATGAATCAGAGAAAGAGACAAAGAGATCTCTCTGGGCACCGCGGAATAGCAGGTCCTCTGATTGGTTAGGCCAGCTGAGTCTGTAGTTCAATCCCAGACAAGGGAACCCATCTCTGGCCAAAGAGATGGCGGTGCTTTGTTGAGTGTCCATTGTTTCCTGTTTGGTTACTGTCCTCTCATGCCTTGAGCTCAGTCGGGTCAAAGGGGAGGAATAGATGAGCAGTTACCATGGATTTGGCTTGTGAAGAGGGGATGGAGACGGGCCGGGCGTGACTGCTGCAGCGAGTTTGCCCTTGACTGACCAGGAAGGGTTCGATAATGATCTAATAAGCCTTCATAGCAGCCAGTTTTGCCGCAGATTGATTATGGGTAATCTATGTATTTTCACTCTGAAGCAATAAGACAGCAAGTACAATTTGTTGTCAAGGAAAAAAATAAACACAACTGGAAGAATCGAATTGTCCTCAGTGACTGCAATGAATTAAGGAAATGTGTGCTAATTAGAGTATCCTATAGGGAATTGGAAGAGATAACTTAAGGACTTTGATGTAGGCATTTGTATAACACTGTGATCAGCAGGGGTTTTGTGTGTGTGTGTGTGTGTGTGTGTGTGTATGGAAACTTCCATTCTAACTGAAAAGCCAAAGACTAAACGGCAGCTGCTACTTCCTAAAAGGAGATCATGGTTTGTGTGCTGTTGGGGGGGGGAGGGGGGAAGGGCAGGCAGCTGATCTGAAGCCTTTGCTGTTGCTAATGCATCTTTCAAATAAACACAGCATCCTACCTCCATGATCCTTTCGGGTTTTAGATCTGTAAGTTTTTCATCTTCAATACTGCTGAAGACCATAAAAGTTACATATCCAATAATGTATGTTTTCCATTTATTACTCTTACTTTATGTCTCTCAGAAGTTTTTTTGTAGTATTTTTTTTCTTTTTCTCCAGAGCTGCTACATATTTGCAGGTACCATACGTACAGTTATTCCCAGTTTGAGTGGGAATTCCTGAATTGCATTTTCCTAGAGTTTGTGCTTGGCCTCCCATATATTCTCTTAAGTGTGAGATCAGACTGAGTTATCCGCCTGTAAACAGTCTCCCCGTCAGCGGCCGGGGAGCAAGGGGCACCTGGTCTCATCCCAGCCTAGCCTAACCGGACTTCACTGAACATTGGTGTTCACCAAGGGGCTTGCATCAGTCATTTACATTAAACTCCCATCTGGCCCTCAGCGGACAAGTTGCAGGGTCACTCCAGGAAGATGCTCCGTGCTGTCCTTTGGGGGTTCTTGCAGAACAATTAACCGAGATTAAGGGAGTTGCCAGGCGACCAGAACAGCAGAATGTATTTACAGCTCTGGTGGGAGAACATACTGCTCAGTTCTGCTCCAGTGCGCACAGAGGTGAAGGTCACTGTGAAGGTCACCGTTACAGGCCAGGATTCTAAAAAACCTCTCCCATCTGCCCTTTTCACTGTCAGCTGGACATCTGTTTCCCAGGGCTTTTTGCTCAGAGACCCTTGCCTGTGCCGTCTTGAACTCACCTCTAGTCTCTGGGTGATGGTGTCAGGTGGGTCTGCAGTGAGGGCTGCTGGGTCATCCTGCTCCATTCATACGTCCACTCTTTTCTAGAACATTCCTCCTCATTCCTAAAACTTCCAGAAGCATCAGGCTAATGTCCACACACTTCATCCCTCTTGTCTTCCCCTGCTGGGCCTTCCTTCCTGACCCCACAAATGGGACGTCTGTGATCCACCCAACTCCCCAGGTGTGTGTGGGCTCCTGTTTCCACCGGCCTTGGAGAGACCACTGTCCCCTCCGACAGGTTCCCATCCTCCCAGCTGCTCTGCGCTTTACAGCAGGAAACATGCTGAGCCATCTCTCTTCCTAACAGCAGAGCCCAATAAACGCCCCCTCCATTTATCGCCCTGACCTGCTTTACAGCAAAGCTCTGAGCACAGACATTGTGTTTGCTGGCTCCTCTCCTGGCCGGGCCTCTGGGAGCTGGCCGGCCTGGTCACTGTAATCTGGGACCCCTTCTCTCCTCTGTGTACATTCATTCCTGCGAAATCTCTTCTAATCTAAGGATTTTTAAATAACACCTGTAGGTCTCCGTCATCTGCCAATTGCCAACCATAGAATCCAGAATAGCAAACACAATGAAGAAAATTCAGGGAAACAGACTACATGTTTTTAACACATCTCAGGAATATCAGTACCTGCTAAGATAGTGAGCAGTTGCCGCCCACTGATCCAGCAGGAATGGCCCAGAGGACAAACCATGTCTGCCGGGATGAGAAGAAAAGAGTCACATTTCAGAGGCTGCCATGGATAGGGGAATCTAGAAACCTCCCCCACATGGCAATATGGCTGAAGGATCATGACCTGGGCGGGAGGTCAATGAGAGGACACCCGAAGGTCTTGCAGCCTGTCTACGTGGTTCCCAAACTGGGCCTTGACTTGAATGAAGGTAGTCTTAGGTGGAAACCACCCACCCATCCACACAGGCCTCACAAACCCAGGGAGGAAGTTAACATTGCCATGGACTCTAGATAGATAGGTAGATAGATAGAATAGATAGGTAGTAGATAGATAGATAGATAGATAGATAGATAGATAAATAGATAGATAGATAGATAAATAGAATAGATAGGTAATAGATAGGTAGGTAGATAGATAGATAGAATAGATAGGTAATAGATAGATAGATAGATAGATAGATACAATAGATAGATAGATAATAAGTAGATAGATAATAGATAGATAGACAAATAAACAGAGAGGTAATTGTTGTTCTTTCCAAATAGTCCACAGCACACAGAGTTAAGCTAGGCGCTCCCTGGGATGTGAGTGGGAGCCAGGAGAAACGAGGTCAGCATTTGGGAGTCTGGTTATACCAGGCTGTTCTCTTCCTCCTGAGGGTCCCACGGTTGCTGCAGTGTGACACCGTGAGACACAGACTGTAACCCACTGCTTTAGTGGGGGGTCTCCCAGAAGCGGAACCTAATGCAGAGCCATGAGGGCAGCAGTCTATTTGGTGAGTGAGGGGCTGCTGGTCTGGAAGCAGCCCCTAAGCAGTATCCTACTGAGCCAGCAGCTCTAGGAGCAAATCTCACACCTTGGGATCCCTCTACCCAAGGGGCGATGGGCTGGGATGGGGCACACCAGCCCCGAGGCTCTGTGGCTGAAGGCTGCTCCTGCTGGGGAGGGGGGTGCAGCGTGGAGGAGGGGGGTATAAACCTCCCAGCACTTCAGCCCTATTGCAGGCATGGACCAAGCAGGGTGGTCATGTGAATGGAGGATATTTCCAACAGAGACTCTCCAGTGAGACTGTAAAAGGATGTTTTCTTTCCTTTTTAAACATCATTATCACCCTTGATGTTCGTCCTAACTTCCTCGGATATTTTCCGTTTTAGGCTGTGTTGTGGGTGTCAAATGAGATTGCACCTTACAAGCATGAAAGAATTTCAAAGGACCTATGGTTAGTTAGACATGTTCTCCTTTTACTTCAAAGTCTTGTAACTGTCAATATTGATTTCACATAGGAAGATACTGATTGCACCTTTTAAAAATTTCCTCTGACAACTTGGTAACTTTGGACCCTTAAAATACATCCATATTCAGGTGTAATGTTTTAAAAGGCATATCGGAGCGTAACACCCCCCTCAGCGTGTGCTGTGTTTCTGTTGCAGGTGGAAGAAGTCATCACAGGGGGCCCACGAACGTCCACGTCCACATCCACGTCCACGTCCACGCAGAGCACCTCGTCCCGCAGCAGGGAGCACACGGGCAACAGGTACCGCCCCCCGGGGCTGTCTTTGGCCTCATCGTGTCATCATCTCATTCTCTTCACTTTTCCTGGAGATACAGTTATTTAAGTTTCAAAGTGAGTCATACCATGAGGTTAGTTCCCAAAACTTAGACTCTCAGTGGGCCAGGTCCTGGGTCCCCGACAACATATCGGTGTAGAACGTGCAGACCTCTTGTCGCAGTGAGGTACTGGGACACTGCCTGCCTGGGATGGCCCACGGGTCACCCCCTAGAGTCCAACCTGGCAGGCTGCCGGGGCCAGGGGCCCCATCGTGTCTCCTGCTGTCGCCCTCCTGGTCAGAGGTCATCGTCTGGCCGTGGCTTAAGCTTTGTCCCACCAGGACCTTCACCCTCTCGAGAACGTCCACCCCTTGGTATTTCCTGGTTAGACAGTGGGTGCTTGGCCCTGACCTTTCAGAGCTTCAAGGTTGACCAGCCTTCCAGATTCTTTGTCCACCTCTCTGCTAATGAAGATGATGGGCGGCTTCCGACAAGGCCAGATGATTTTATGGGCATTATACAGCCCTGGGGCCAGACGTTCCCAACTCCTGATCTAGAGTTTCACCAACTGTTACAATGGGAATCCCTGGCCAGTGGGGCTTCTTTCCTGTGTTTCACTACAGCTGCTGCTGGGTGTGGGCAGTAGGAGCAGGTTCTCATGGGAAAGGAACATGGCAGGTGGAGCTTGGCTCATCACCTGAACCTGTAGCGTAAAGGCTGCTGCTGAACCACCAGCAGGTCCATGAGCCTTAGTAGCAACACTCAGGAGTAAGACCCGCCTGGAGTGATCCCACTGCGATCCCGGCTGTGGTAAGCAGACTTGGACTTAGGTAAGCAGACCTCGGACCAGCTGACCGCCCCACAGCTGCCTGGGCGTTAGCACAGCCCGGTAGCACTTGCTAACACTCCATCACTCCAAGGTCATACTCGTGCTTCCACAAGGCTCCGAGCCACAGAAAACCAGGCACAGCCTCTTATGGGTGTTCCTATGCTGGCGGGGTAGTACTTTCCCACGTTAGTTGCAGAAACGAATGCTCAAATTGAATCTGTTTGTGATTGAAATTTTTAAATGATGTTCCCATTACCTTTGGCCTTTTTGGTTGCTCTAGAAGCAGACAAACCGAGAAACTAGAGGTGGATCCCAGCAAGCACTCGTTCCCCGACGTGGCTAACATAGTCGGAGGGAAAACTTCCACACCCAGAAGAGTCCGACCCGAACCCAAAGTCGTGCCCCGTGAGGAAGATCCAGGCTTTGAAGATGACCCGGAAGTGCCCCCGCTGATCTGACACGTCAGGCTGCATCGCCTGGGACCCCTCCCAGGACCCAGCTTTGCTCAGCACAGAAAGTGTATGCACCTCGCTCATGGGACACACACACAGTTATTTATCAGTGTCACTACCCTCGTGTCACAGCTCCCACTTGCTACAGCAATATTCTTAAACTACTTTAAAATGAAAAGGGTACCTTAAATATGCTAGAACCCACTATTTGTCTAGAATAAAGTGCTAGTGAAAACGAATGTTCAGTAAATCATAGAACTAACCTAATGCAAATATTCCTTAAATGACAAAAATACATGGTATTATGGACCGAATGTAGGACCCCCTCCCCTCATTCCCATGTGGAAGCTGTAATCCCACTGAGGTGGTGTTTGGAGGTGGTTAGGTCAGATGAGGTCATGAGGATGGGCCCCATGGAGGGATTAGTGTCCTTAGAAAAGAGGAACCACAGCTCGCTTGCTCCTCCCCCCCCCCTTCTTTCCATCACGGGGGGGACACTGAGAAGACAGCTGTCTGCACACCAGGAAGGACTTCACAGAAACCGCACCAGCCACACCTTGAACTCAGGTGTCCAGCCTCCAGAACTGTGAGAAACTATCTCTGTTGTTCAAGCACCACCCAGTCCGTAGTATTTTGTTACAACAACCTAAGCATCTGCTATGTCAACATGCCCCGCGGGCCCCCCCCCTTCCCCCCCCTGGAATATGAAAGCCTCCTTTGCTGGTTGCCTAAGGGACAAATCTGGGCCCTAACCTGTTGTGAGGTCTTGGTTCCCACCACTTCCCCCTGGGCACCAAGCTGCCCCCCACCGGAAGTCCCCACCCTTCCTGCCAGTGCACACGGCCCTTGGAGGGTGGGGCTGGTGCTCCCAGGGCCCAGTGAGCCTCTCAGGGTGATGGGAGCAGCGTGTGCTGCCAAGGCCCAGGGCCTGGGTGAGGGCCCTGCTGGAGGGAGACCGTGAAACCATGCCCGCCTCCCACTAAGCTCAACACATCGAGGTTATTTTTAAAAGATATATTTTTATTGGTGTCAGAGAGGAAGGGAGAGGGAGAGAGAGAAACATCAACAATGAGAGAGAATCACTGATGGGTTGCTTCCTGTATGCCCCCCGCTGGGGATGGAGCCCACACCCCAGGCATGTGCTCTGACTTGGAATCCAGCCGTCACCTCTGGTTCATAGGTGGGCGCTGAGCCATGCCGGCCGGGCACTACAAGGTTATTTTTAGGGCTGGATCACCTGGCCTGGGCCTTCCTAAAGGGGAGCCCCATCCGTCTGGGCCCTCTTTCCTGAGGCAGTTTGCACAGGGAGCCAGAATGTGCAGCGTTGTTGGCTCAGGCTCCGGCCCGACTCAAATTTCCCTGCCTAAGCCCATCTGCTGACCAAGAAGGGACAGCTTGTGTCCCAGACACTCCTGGGGGGCTCCCCGCATGACAGGGCTCCTCCACCCAGCCTGCCTGGCCCTCGGGGCACACCTTCTCCTCCAGGCGCCTGTCTGATCTCTGCCAGGGCCCTGACCTCGAAGCGCCTGCAGATGGCACCTGCCAATGGCACCTGCCGCTGGCACCTGCCGCTTTACCTGGAGGCCCCATGGCTGTGGGGGATGTCCTTCGGCAGGGGAAGCCCTGGGTGTGTGGCAGCTGGTAGCACTGGACTAGAAGTGACAATGCCTTCTCCCAGACAATGGCCACCTCCCAACATGTAGTTGACAATGAGCGCAGTGATGGAGCCACCTGCCGCCATGGCCGGCCTTCGGCCTACAGAGAGCGCTTGCTGGCTGTCCTGGCTGTCTGGGAAGGTGTGAGGAATTCCCTCCCGGGCTCGGGGGCTCAGCTGGCCTTGCCCCAGTGGGTGAAGAAATGGGCCTGCCCCCGCCTCATGGCTGCCATCCGAGGGGCGTTACATCCAAGGACTTGAGAGATGCCCTAGGCACCCACACTCTTCCCATAACATCTTTTCCAGGCCTCCCTCCTCGTGTCCTGTCTCATTACCTCTCTTTCCAATGCGATACTGTGATCTACAGGACACCGTACTGACTCATAAGGAATTCCACACGTGCATATCCACAAGATGATGCCCTTACCTCAAATGACATGTGCAGAATCCCAAACTCCCTCCTGGTGTGAAAACATCCGCAGCGACTCTAGCTTCTCACTGTCACGTCTCTTTAAGTCAACCCCTTACTCTTTCTCCCCCCCTGTTAACCAGCCAGGTTGCTAAGCTGGTGTTAACACCACGTGCAGTGGTGTTAAAGTGTCCCCAAATTGATAGCGCCTCCGCAGCTCCGAGCAGTGTGTGAAATCATCTTCCCAAGTGCTACCCGGGTGCAGTTAGCACCCCCTCCTCGCTGGCTTCCGACCAGTGGGGGCTCAGCACAAGAGTCAGCAGGCCTGCATCAGCTGCCCGCATCCTGTGCTCAGAGAAGGGGGGCCTTCGTGGCCACGGGGTCCTTCCCACTCTCCCCTGGCTGCACTCTCCCCTGTGCGTTCAGCTCTGGCGCTCTGGGCCCCCTGAGGCTGCTCTGTAAGGGCTGGCCCTTACGTAGAGCATGTTGCTTCTCCAGGCAGTGGTCAGACCACTTGTGAGTTGTGTCCATGGGGCAGGGTCAGGCAACTCTGGCACCAAGGACACCACCCTGCCTTCAGTGCCGGGTCTAAGCTCCCCCAAGCCCCACACCAGGTGGGTGAAGAGCTGGGTGAGGGGTGTCAGCAAAAGGAAGCTCAGTGGGAGGCTCCTAGTGGAGTTTCCTTCAGGTGCATCTTTAGGCTGGTTTGGCTCAGTGGATAGAAGGTCCCAGATTCGATTCCGGTCAGGACACATACCCAGGTTGCGGGCTTGATCCCCAGTAGGAGGTGTGTGCAGGAGGCAGCCGATCCATGATTCTCATCATTGATGGTTCTATCTCCCTCTCCCTCTTTCTCTTCCTTCCTCTCAGAAATCCATAGAAATGTATTAAAAAAAAAAAAAAAAAAAAAAAAAAAAAAGGAGAACTGGGAATTAGGGTGCACAGTGCCAGGGTCTACCCCAGCGGATAAGGCTTTGGAACTCCTGGGATGGTGTGGTAAGTTTTAAGGATTAGGTAATGCACGCATAAAGTACTTAGAAAATTGTGAAATGCTGCCCGGAAATCATTTCTAAGTTGTCATCAAAGCATAATGTTATGGACGTGCAGACAAAGAAAATCCAGCACGAGAGATCGGGAAAGGCTGCATGGAAATAGCAGCATCTGTAAGATCATGAGGATCAGGCCTCCCGGGAGCGGGGACAGCAAAGGTCTGGAGAGAGTCCCAGAAGGGGCACGTTCGAGGAGGGCGCCTCTCGGGCAGCCTGGGGAGGAGGCTCTGTGGAAACCGCCTCCCCACAGGAGGAGCTGCAGGGCTGGTTGGGAGATAAAAGGCCATCGCAGAAGCCAAGGTGCCCAGATGCCATGGACACAGCCCAGGCCCAGCCCCCAGCTACGTGGGCAGACCGCTGAGCTCATCCGCTGCCCGAGAGCTCATTACACAGGCTGGCACGTGCGTGCCTCTGCCACTCATCCTCTCAGACAGAACAGCGGAGATGAGATCATCCCCATCTGAAAAAAAATTAAAAATTAAAAAAAATCACCACTTAACCAGCAGAAAGGCTCGGCCACCTGCTGTCAGGGAAGCTGCCGCCCTGGAAAAGAGAAAGAGAGAGAGGCCCCTGAATTTAGTGTTGAATCCCTCCCAAGAACTGTCAATATTTTTGGAAGCCCCCAGAGAACAAATGCTTCCTCCAGCCTGGCGAAATCTGCTGAAAAGAGACCGACTCCAGGCTGATGGCTGGTGGCCACTCAGTGCCGTGCTCGGTGGGTGGCACCTAAGACAGGCGGTCGGCAGCTTGAGAGGAGAATAATACTGCTGAGAACACGTGCAATTTTTAAAAAAAATATATTTAATTGATGTTTTACAGAGAGAAAGAGAGAGGGATAGAGAGTTAGAAACATCGATGAGAGAGAAACATCGATTAGCTGCCTCTTACACACCCCCTACTGGGGATGTGCCCGCAACCAAGGAACATGCCCTTTGACGGGAATCAAACCTGGGACCTTTCAGTCCGCAGGCCGATGCTCTAGCCACTGAGCCACACCGGTTTCGGCAACACATGCAATTTTATTTTCCCCCAGAAAGCTCAGAGCAGGATGCCTATTGCAGGCCTGTGTTCATATGTGTAACCCGAGTGTTCCTAGTGTTACACCGACCTGCTCAACAAAGCAGGACCTTACCACGCTGCCTCGCCCAGTCTTTCATGTATGAGCGTCTCGCGGGTGAGCCAATCTCGGTGGCCATTGTATGAATCGGAGAGAAGGCCCTCTCCAGCGAGGCTAACGAAGAGGGCCTGTGAAGAGGACTATACTCAGGGGCGTGGGTGAGCGATGGAGGAGTCCCCAGGACGAGTGAGAGTGGGGTTGTCACCTGTGCCCGTGGTCACCAGCTGCCCCACCACAGACATGACCTTGGAGGCGGCAGTTCAGTCTAACCCTGAAGGGACAAACTGCTGGAGGGCGTGTGCTGAGCCTGTTCCCTGTGACTGGCAGCATGTTCTTCCCAAGAAAGGCACCCGGACAGGCCGTCCACACGTCCGAGGCAGCCCCCCTGGCCTCGCTCAGACCTGCGAGGGCGTCCATTGGGGGCGTCCATCCTGGGGGGCTTCTCTTCCTCAGGGGCACTTAGTAGGACAAAGTGCTCACCCTCAGCTACCGCAGTGGTGGCCATTCTTCCTTGGTTTCCTCTACTTCAGGGGTCCTCAAACTTTTTAAAGTGGGGGCCAGATCACGGTCCCTCAGAGAGCTGGAGGGCCGGACTATATGAACTACTAATTCCTACTGTAACACCTCGGCTGCGCTCACTGCCCAAAAAACCTGGCGGGCCGGATCAGACTCCTCTGCGGGCCGCATGTGGCCCACGGGCCGTAGTTTGAAGATGCTTGCAAGTCTACTTGGTACCCTCACCCCTGCCATCTGGTTTGCCCCTGGGCCCATGGATCATGTAGTGGTCTCTCCTGTGGGATGTCTGGACTGTGATAAATGAATGTACACTGAGTTGGAGGTCTGAACTGCAGCATGGCGTTTTGGGGCCCCAGCATGAAGATCTGGGACCCAGATATAGGTCTGAGCCCCAAATGGAAGTTTGAGTCCTGGGAGGGAGGTGTGGTTACTAGGGGGCGCTCTGGGCCCAGGAGAAAGTTTTGGGTGAGGGATGGGACCACCGGATCAGGAAATGGTGGTCCCCATTACTGTGGATGTCTGGACCCCATTATAGGACT